TAATGTTAATCAGTCAAGTAAATCAACTATTTATAAAAATGATTTAAAACACTAAGCTGGTTAAAATTTATTAGTATGTATTTACAAAATTAAATTGATGGCGCGGCAAAATTAAATCGGTGCACTGCACCTGACCAATTTAATTTTGTAAATACATACTAATAAACTTTAAACGCGGCAATAAGATATACTTTATGATAAACAATATTACTAAGGTTGTTTAATTTAATACATTACAAAACAAAAAATTTTGCTTGTCAATATGCTGTGTGCTTTTATCACTGCTATTATATATATATCTATGTTTATGGAACATAATTATGATCAATATAATGCTTAGGTAGTCAATTTGCCACTTACTAACAAGTTTACACATTTGTTTTAAAACAAGGAAACTCTTTCAATAATGATAAAGGTTCTGATTTATAGATGTGGCAAACAGAATAAAAAATAACATTCTTAATAAATGCCATGAATCAATGTTGTAGAAATTCCAATTGATTTGAAATTTACCTCTTTTTTGCTCGACTTTTGCAAAGAAAAATTTTGAGCTGTTGCTACAGTCTGGTTGTTGTTGACGTCCAGAAACTTTGGCCAAGTTGACAAGACTGAATATATTCTGATCTTAACAGTGTTGGTGTGATTTAAAACTCAACAGTGTCTTAAATTTAAAAGTAGACTAGCAGAAAAGAAAAAATAGCCTACCGGGTAATAATATATAATGTAAAGTAAAAAGTCTAAATTTATTAAATGCATATTTTTAATTTCATAAATGTCTTTGAAATTTGTATAACTCTCTATACTTATTTGAAATATTTTTGCTGGTCAATAAACTAAACATTTTGGCCTTTTAATGACTTCCCTATGCTTCAAATTACAAATTATATAGAAAACAAGTTGAATATCCGGGAAGATTGATAAAAGATTTAAATGGTTGTTTTATTTGAATGAAGTAAACAATTAAATAGTATAGATTTGACAAAGATTATAGCTTAATGTGAAAGAAGAAATCAAAAATTCAAAATGTTTCCTAAAGTAAATGTAAACATCCATGGGTAGCCATGATTCGTTACCCTAAGCATTCTCACAGTGATAGTTTTATACACTCTTATCTTCAAGATTTCTATGTTGAAGAAATTTGACACATACATAAAATTTACTTTGATATTTAAAAAATATCCAATTGTTTTCTTTGTTAACAAACATATGACAAGACATTATGGCATAGACAGTAATAGTGTTGACTCTAGGACAGGAACGAATTTAGGGCACCCAATGATACTTAATATTGCTTTCTTATTTCAAAAATTTTCTATCAAGAGATTATGCATGGTGCAATTTCCCTGTGATTGAAAACTTTTATAATAACAAAAAATAGCTAGAAGTTCCCATGTATTACCAGTAGTATATGATATTAAAAATTTTAAACTTTTTAGACATTCAGTGTCTTTTTACAAACATCATAAAAATTATTAAAATACTATTAAAGTATAATATATTGAGACAATTTATTATTTAACTTCTTATCACATGAAGTAATCTTGATATTTATTATCCATAAAATTTGGAAATACAATGTTGTTTTTTTTCACAGTCACGGTGAAAAAATAAACAACACAATTTTCTTTTTTGTTTTGACAGAGTAGGAAGTAGGAATCCAAAATTCTATACATTTTTAATGTATCTCACTATGTTTCAATCAGTGTGATATAATTTATATCTCACAGATGTTTTTAAATATCTCGTTAAAAAGAATATATAAGCTGCGTCATGACAAAACCAACATAATGGGTTTGCGACCAGCATGGATCCAGACCAGCCTGCTCAGTCTGGTCAGGATCCATGCTGTTCGCTTACAAACTCTATAACAAGTAAAGAAACCGATAGCGAACAGCATGGATCCTGATCAGACTGCGCGGATGCGCAGGCTGGTCTGGATCCATGCTGGTTGCAAACCCATTATGTTGGTTTTGTCATGACGCGGCTCATATATAAGATAAATAGGAAAATATGTAATTACTTTTTTTTTGTAAGAAAAAACTGTTTCACTTCTGTTAGTTGGCGGTATGACTTTTCTTTATTGCTATAGTGAGACCAATTATTGTGTACTATGATGTCAAAATATGCAATTCTGTATCATAAACCAATTTGTCAATACACAATATTAACTATTTAGGGTAATTTAGGGTAATAGGTAGACTAACAGATAAACATCTGTAATATTATTTAACATTTATTAGATATGTCTTATTAACATAATGTTACTTACATTCTTCAACTCCATTCATGCTTTAACCTACTAAAATTGACTTTCTAAAAAGTTACAGTACAATTTTTTTACGGTACTCCACAGTTTAATTTCGTTCAGCAATATTTAAAGTAATAAAAATGGCATGATGTATTGTACTTCTAGTTCTACATATAAATAGAAGTTTCATTATCAATAATTGATAATAAAGAATTATTCTTTATGAACTTTCTTTCAATCTGATTCTGAATAGTAGTGAGCCTTATTACTGTTATAAACATTTAAAAAAAAGTACATGTATAGCAGTAATATCCCAGACATATGTTAGGTAATAACAGTAAAATGTTGCTAGTATGTAATATTGCAGATGTCTTTGTCACATTGTGTAGGTATAGAAACCGGAGGTCAATACATACACCCAATACAGACTTGTTTAAATAATATTATATTACTATTTCTTCTTGTTCAGATTGGGAGAATTTTTTATTCATGCTTAGTTTTTCTATTTTGTAATATTTAATATTTGGTTGATTAACTTCTTCATTTTTCTTTAATGATTAAAATATATTGTTATTTGGGGAAATACATTTATTTTCATGGTTGATTTGTTTCACATGATACTGTAAATTACCCAAAGGGTATGTTTTCTTAAAAAGCGACTTTCTAAAATATTTGTTGACTTTAAAAGAATTCTCACCTAAAACAACTTAAACACCTTGTTGTTGTAACAATTTTGTAAAGGTGAGAAAATGAAAGGGTTCCTTTGTCTATCAATGTATATCTTACCAATTTAACTGATTACAAACAATGTAATTTTTGTTTCAATATTTGATATTTCTAAATCTCTGATTACGGGTACATTAAAAACACAGGATTTTATTTAAACCATCAACACAACATCATTAGTGTATGCTTGTATTATATTAGCTCTTTCTCTCTTTGTGTCTTTGTGTTGGTGTGATATACAGATGTTTATTGATAGAATGCCATCAGCTGTGACATTGTAATAGTGGAGACTGCAGCGCTGACTTCATTGACTTGTATCAGTTCTCTCGGTGTACACAAAGAGTCTTAGGTCACCCATTTATTTAAATGTGATATATACCATTATTGTGTGACTTTTAAAAGCAATGCACAGTTGATGTGAAATAAAAATTGGAATATAAATATTTTAATTAAATAAATAAACAACAGATTTATTAGAATTAGAAACAAAGGAATTTTCTTGTTTATTGGATAAATTTTGGACAATTTATTGGATACATTTTGGACACTTTTTAATTGACAAATAAAATAATTGTGTTAAAGTGATTGAAATTATTTGAGAGTAGGAAATATACTTTTAAAATTTTCACAGAATTTTCAAAGTTGATACAAAAGTAAAAAATGCAATTTTTGAATAAGAAAACACAAAGGTTTGTTCAGGAAAAAATTCCCTGGGATGTAAGAGTTCCATATACAAAGCAGACTAGTTCAAGAAAGGTGTCACAGGTAATTTTGTAATATATTGTTGGGACTGATTATTCAACTATGTTAGAAATTTTTGAAAATAACCTGAAAAAATAGATTGACTAGATTCTTATATTTTGACAAGTTAGTCCTGTTATTATTTCATTGGACATCCTTCATAAGTATTTAATATTGTGTACATGTTTAATTTTATTTTTAAAAAGGAATCGATAGTGAATAACTAAAATTTCCTCAAAAAGAAAAACTGATTTGTAAAGTGAAAAAAAAATTGTTAAATTCAGATTTAATTATACTGATTTTCATGTGGTAAGGTTAAATACAGGCTGATAATCATGTGGTTATGTTAAACACTGGCTGATACTCATGAGTTATGTTAAATACATGCTGATAATCATGTGGTTATGTTAAATACAGGCTTATACTTTTGTGGTTATGTTAAATACAGGCTGATAATCATGGGTTAGGTTAAATACAGACTGATAATCATGTGGTTGGGTTAAATACAGACTGGTAATCATGTGGTTGGGTAAAATACAGACTGGTAATCATGTGGTTAGGTCAAATACAGGCTGATAATCATGTGGTTTGGTCAAATACAGACTGATAATCATGTGGTTAGGTTAAATACAGGCTGATAATCATGTGGTTGGGTTAAATACAGACTGTTAATCATGTGGTTAGGTCAAATACAGACTGATAATCATGTGGTTTGGTCAAATACAGACTGATAATCATGTGGTTTGGTCAAATACAGACTGGTAATCATGTGGTTAGGTCAAATACAGGCTGATAATCATGTGGTTAGGTCAAATACAGGCTGATAATCATGTGGTTTGGTCAAATACAGACTGATAATCATGTGGTTGGGTTAAATACAGTCTGATAATCATGGGTTAGGTTAAATACAGGCTGATAATCATGTGGTTAGGTTAAATACAGACTGTTAATCATGTGGTTAGGTTAAATACAGGCTGATAATCATGGGTTAGGTTAAATACAGGCTGATAATCACGTGGTTGGGTTAAATACAGGCTGATAATCATGTGGTTGGGTTAAATACAGGCTGATAATCATGTGGTTGGGTCAAATACAGACTGGTAATCATGTGGTTAGGTCAAATACAGGCTGATAATCATGTGGTTTGGTCAAATACAGGCTGATAATCATGTGGTTTGGTCAAATACAGACTGGTAATCATGTGGTTAGGTCAAATACAGGCTGATAATCATGTGATAAGGTTAATTACAAGGTGATAATGTAACATGATTTGTATTTATTTCAGTCTCGAAGTGCAAGTGCTGAGAGTCCAACATTTCAGAGTGGATCTGGTGGGTATTCTGATTCTGCTCTAGATGGTTATGATACTGGAAGTAAGATAATAAACAATACTCTATAACAAACAATTTATACATTCTCTTTTTTTATACACATATTTTATCAACAAAGTTTTAAATTAACATTTGTGCCTGTATTGATGTTTTTGCATGATATATTATTACTTACAAATGTTTTGGACTCTGAGTCTAATTGTTTTGCCTGCTAGTTTGAATCATGCATGGAAAGTTGAATAAGGTCATGCAAGAAGGCGTTCCAACTAGCTCTGTGTAGATTAATAGTCATCCCTTGATAAATAATTACAGTGCATATTAAAGTACATTTATTATTTTTCTGTTCTGTTGTGATATTTTTCAAGTTGAACATTTTATCATTTGTGTCAATTTTTCAAAACATACTGTTAATAGTACTTTAACTTGATATGCCCTTAGAATGTTTTTGAGAAAATTGCATGTATAATGTTATAACTATGCACTTTTACTCTGATTACTTACCTATACTTTTTCCAAGTAATAATTAATCACAATAATAGCATGTGTTTGACGACTCTTTGTTGATATAATAACGAACAATTATGCTTCTAATTGATAATGAGTTAATTAAGGCATGTTCTGTTTCCAGATTCACCAGTACGAAGAAGGCGGCACTCGAATGAAATGGAGGCGGTACGTCCCTCCTCTATAGGGGAGGAGGAGCTACAGTTACAGTTAGCTCTGGCAATGAGTAGAGAAGAGCATGAAGAAGAAGTTAGAAAACAGAAATCAGATGATATAAAGCTGCAACTAGCGCTGGACGAAAGTCGCAGGCAACAAGAGGAAGAGGTTTGTAAACATATGACAACTTTGTCTGGTTGTTTGATATGTAGGGAGGAGTTTGACTGATTGCCTTCCCAAAAACTTTCCTCTGAGACATCTCTTCCAAACTGCCCTCAAAAATGCCCTGTAAAACTGAAAACAAATGCAATGGAGTATGATATTCAAAAACCAGATGTTCTGCTGAATAAAGCTTTCGTTCTAAAGATCTTTGTTCAGGTCCAGAATGCTACATTTTTTTTTTTTAAAATGCAAGTGAAGTTAAAGACATCATCTTAAGACATTATTTTACACTGCTGTTTGATTTATGTCGAGAATTTGGTAAGTACTTTAAAAACAAAAACATGAATTAGAAATGGTACAGATTTAGTAACGGAACCCAGACACATTGTGTTTGATAACAGATCAAATAAACGGTCTTGTCATAAACCATAAACTTACATTTTTTTTATAATTGCTGAAAGTAAATTTTGCCTTTATATGCTGTCAAGTTCTAGACAGAAGATATATAGCATTATAGCACTGCTATTAATGTATGTATGATAACTCATACTATGAAATATATGTCTAATACAGCTGCTAAAAACATAATACCCACAATTTAATTAATTTGGCTTGAGTTTATGTCTTAGAATAGTATTCTTATTCACTTATTAAGGTGAGCTTTATATCACCAGATATTACTTGTTAAATTACAGGAATTTTGCTTCAGTTAATTTAATTGTAATTCTGTTTTCTGATCAGTATTGCAAATTTTTTTTACGACTATAGATATACACAAAAATGTTTTTTTTTTTTTTTTGTTATATTTATTTTAGGAGCGGAATAAAGTAAGGCTGTTACTTAACTCTTTGTAAAGCATTAGTTTGCTTGTTTTTTTCCTCTGTCCCTCATGTTGAAAACCATACTTATATTTCTTTGACTGTGCTGTGTGTGGTCTCACTTTGTGATGTTTTGAGATTTGCAGTAGTTTATAGTCTACCCAGTTGCACATCCATCACTGATATTCTTCAGCAAATATTTCAAGATTTTTATCATATGAAATACATAATTATGATATTGTTTGACTACAGAGCATTTTAGAAACATAACGCATTGCTCAACACCCACATCAAGCCAGGTTTTTGCCCTTGGTTTGATAATATTGCTATTATGACAAGAGATTAGATTGTTACAACTTATTTAATTATGCTTAGCTAAATGTAATAAGACCTGCTTAGCTTCCATTATTGGAACTGTACATTATTAGTTTTGGGGATATCAAGATGAAAATTTAAAGTTGCTGACCTGGTTGTATATTGGTGACATGGACTAGTCCAAGTTCTAGCAGGGTTAGGGTTAAACAGTGAAAATGTCTCAGATAACTTCTTGAAAATGCAATTCTTTCTTTAGTTAGAGTTATAGAAGCAAGTTGTGTAATTTAGCTGACTGCATGTATGTAATGTACTTATATAAGATAGACAGTCTCACATTATCTAAGTCTTTAATAAGATATATTACCAGGAATTGTTCCTGTGAATCTACTATATAATATAAGCTATTGTTTATGTCTGACACAACTGAATACAATTATCTTTGAAAATGTTTTCATGATTGTTGTCAGCTAACATGGTTTTAGGGTAACAATTATTTGTCTTTAATCTTTAAAACATTTCACATTAAATTATTATCCCCTCTTACAACTTAATCAAAACTTAAATGTAGGGTTTTACATTACTGGCAGGTCTGTTTTGTGTTTTCTATGTGACTAATATTGTGTGTTTGCTCCATACCTTAAAATAATGTTTATAAACTAGCTTGGTCATTACTGTGCATATGCAGTACATAATATTTCTTTACCAAGAATGTCCTGTAAAAGTTACAGTTGAAAACTCAGACTTAACATGTGATAGTTTAAGAAAGGGATAGATACTGGTAAGCATTTTCTATGATTAATTTATAAAAGATCTTTTCCTATATGCTGCTGTTTTCACTGCAGGCTTAAGCTAGATTGTATAGCTTTAATGATTAAAGTGTTTTAGCTCACCTGGAACAAAGTGCCAGAGTGAGATTTTAAGATCACTCACTGTCCGATGTATTATCATTATGTTTTTTCAAAATTTGCAACTCTTCTGGGTTTGTTTGTTGTTATAAGATGTTCCTTCTATTTGTCTGTTCTTCAATTGGAATAAACCTCTATCATTTGTATAAATAGTGTAATTAAGGCTTACAAAGATTATAGGGTAAGGTCATGTTCTCCTGACACAAGATTTAGTTATTTTAAACCTTGATTTAGGTGAGCGATTACTGTAAAGCCCATCATTGCCAGCTCTTATATATGTTCTGCTACATCATCAGCTTTAACATGATGTATACATTGTATAATTTTAGTTTAAACAATATTTTTCTTTCCAGAAACTCTCTCCTTGTTTATGTAATATAAAAGAAACACTGATACTAGCATTGGTAAAAATAAGACAATTAATTTGTAACAGTCCCAATATATCCATATAAATTATACATATTTCACAATAATATTTCTTGTTGCAAAGGCTAATCACTTATGGTTTCAGCAGTGTTAGAATTAAGATTTCCTTTTATCACTCTACCTTTGTGTTGCTCTTTAACTAGGAAAACGATGTACCACCTCATACAGCTTGTAGGCACTAAAACAAACAAACAATAACAAACATATAACTCTTAAGACTTATTATGTCCAGCATTTGACTTTAAATTTCAGTAAATATTTACTAACTTATTGATTTAACTACACACAAATATTGCTAATCATTGGTAATAATTAATAAACTTCACCCTCAATTTGTAATTGAGAGAGTATATAAGACTGTCATACATTTTGCCTGAGTTCAGTTGTTATTACACTATAAGTCTCAGTAAATAGTGACACAGTCTGCAACAAATGGACAGCTATTGTTATCACTAGAAATAAAAAAGCTTTTGATTAGTAGTGAGTACTTTGGTGTGCATGCTTGACAGGTACTTAACTTGTTGCTAGCTGTTGTGACTTCATAATGATTGTCTCCCCTGATAAATTATTTCCTGATAGATCTGTAACACTGAATTGTGGCCATGGTAGTTGTCTCCCTTATTAGATTTGTAACATTGAATTGTTACCATGTTACTTTTCTTCCCTGATAGAGCTGTAACAATTTAAAGTGGCAATAACAATATATTGTGGCAGTGAATTGTCTCCCCTGACAAATCAGTAACACTTCATTGTTGCCATGTTACTTGAAATGTTAGAATTTTATGGTAACTCTTGCTTGTGTTTTGTGCAGTTATGTGAAGAATTGCCAGTAGTTGTAAAGGTTATGCAGTGTAGTGTTCTTTTGATTTGTTTGTCTTCAGTAATTATTGCTATACTATTAAATGATTTGACATTTACATGTATAATATGTTTGCACACAAGAGTTTAAAGCAGAAAATATCAGAAAATTCTACAATGTCTAGTATAGGAGATTTTGTAGGAGATGCAACAGGTACAAAATCAATATTTTATTCCAGTCTTATGTTATAATTAGCTGTTTTTTATGCCACCGCAGCATCTGCGATGCGGTGGCATATAGCGATTCACCTGTGTGTGTGTTTGTTTGTGTGTGTGTGTGTTATATAGATTATATAGTGAACTTAAAAAATCTTCTTGTGAAAAACCACTTGTCCAATTTCAACCAAACTTGGCAGGATTGATCCTTGGGTGAAGGGCTTCCAAAGTTGTTCAAAAAATTTCATTCCATGCAGAAATCTGGTTGCCATGGCAACCAGAAGGAATTATAAGAATAAATTTAAAAAATCTTCTTGTAAAGACCCAAAAGGCCTAGAGCTTAGATATTTTGCATAAGGCATTGTCTGGTAGACCTCTACCAAGATTGTTCAAATTATAACCCTGGGGTCAAAATCGGCCCCGCCCCGGGGTCATTGATTTTCACTATATGTACATATAGTAAAAACTTAAAATAACTTCTTGTAAAGACCCAAAAGGCCTAAAGCTTAGATATTTTGCATAAGGCATTGTCTGATAGACCATTACCAAGATTGTTCAAATTATAGCCCTGGGGTGAAAATCGGCCCCGCCCCAGGGGTCATTGATTTTCACTATATGTACATATAGTAAAAACTTAAAATACCTTCTTGTAAAGACCCAAAAGGCCTAGAGCTTAGATATTTTGCATAAGGCATTGTCTGGTAGACCTCTATTCAGATTGTTCAAATTATAGCCCTGGGGTCAAAATCGGCCCTGCCCCGGGGGTCATTGGTTTTCCTTATATGTATATAGTAAAAACTTTATAGTAAAAAAATTTCTTCTAGCAATTGACAAATGCTAGAGGTTAGATATTTTGCATGAAACATTGTGAAGTGAACTTCTAGCAAGATTGTTCAAATTATAGCCCTGGGGTCAAAATTGCCCCTGCCCGGGGGTCATTGATTTTCAATATATACATACATGTATAGTAAAAAATCAAAAAATCTTATTATCTGAAGGTACAAGGCTTAGAGCTTGAATATTTGTTATCCCCCGCCGATGGAATCGGGAGGGGGATATAGTTTTGGCGTTGTCCGTCCGTCCATCCGTCCGTCCGAATTTCATTTCCGGAGTAGTTCTCTGCAACTACTGGCTGGAATTCAACGAAACTTTATGGGAATCATCAATATCAAGAGGAGATGCGCATATCGTCGGCTTGTTCCGGTCCGACCCTTTAACTCAGAGTTATGGCCCTTGATTAGTTATGTAGTATGCATACAGAGTAAAAAATCGTTTCCGGAGTAGTTCTCTGCAACTACTGGCTGGAATTCAACGAAACTTTATGGGAACCTTCAATATCAAGAGGAGATGCGCATATCGTCGGCTTGTTCCGGTCAGACACTTAAACTCAGAGTTATGGCTCTTGATTAGTTATGCAGGAGTCATTGATTTTCACTATGTACATATAGTAAAAAAAAAAAAAAAAATTGTCTGAAGGTACAAGGCATAGAGCTTTGATGTTTGCTATATAATATCATCTATGGGTTCTCTACTAAAGTTGTTTTAATTATGCCCCTAGTGTTAAAATTGGCTCGCCCAGGGGCAGTGATTCTCATTATGTTCACATAGTAAAAATAGAAAATAAAACAAATCTTTTCTGAATGGGAGAAAGCTACAGCTTAGATATTTGACTTGAAATGTTGTTTGGTGGACCTGTATCAAGATTGTTTTGTATTAAACCCTTGGGTCCAAAATTTTGCCTTGCCCAAGGGGACAGTGACCTACTTTCTTGTCCTTTGATGTACAGCAATGAAATTTTGACTATGTGCACATTTTTAGTTGTAAAATTGAACTTTGATATCAGGTGACCTAGAGTTTGATGATGTGACCTACTTTCTTTCCTTTTATTTACAGCTATAAAATTTGAACCATGTGTACAGATTAAGATGTTAAGTGAACTTTGATTTCAGCTGACCTAGATTTTGACAAAGTGTCTTACTGTGTTGTCCTTTGATGTAGTCATGAAATTTAGGCTGTGTAAATATTACCATCAAATTCACTAGACTCAAGTGCATTGATATATTCCTACTCTGATCTTTTATTGAGTTAACAACAGATTTAACCACTAATCTGATAATAAGAATTAGATAGGGCAGGGATCTATGCATTATGACAATCTTCAATAGTATAGAAACAAAAAAAAATCTGTTTCTACACTACTATTTAGTGTTGTATTAATGCGGTGGCATAGCATTTTTCTCAAATGCAATCTTGTTTTCCCTTTAAATGCACATCAAGACTCAGAAATGTTAGTTTTTATGCCCTCGCCTTATCAGACATTCCAGTTGTCACACTGCTGTGCTGTTGTAATCTCCATAAGTAGGCTGACATAACAGTGTAATATTGGGGCATCTTGTCAAATAGACACATTTCTAGTTTATATTAAGATTAGTCAAGGCAAGTTTGTGTTTTATTATGGTTTAATAATACATTATCTCTTTATAAAGATTTGAAAAAAATGAAACAGTTTCAAAAATGCAAAAAATTTAAAGCATGTTTAGATAATTATCATGTGAAGAAATTTGAAAGATGAATAGTCATAAAAATAGGAAAACTTTAAAAGTGGTAATTTTGTCTTTCATACAAAATAGTAAATTACAATAATTTTTCTAAAAACCAGCAAAGGATGGTTCAGTTATATGACGAGTAAGTACAGTTTAAAAAAAAGTAATAGTACATTAAATCATAAAAATCTTGTGAAAAATAGTAATAATGATAATTTTAGGCATACTATTTACCTATTTAATAGTCATAACACAGTTTTCCTCACCTCAAAATATTCCCCTTAATGTAAAATGAATAAAAGGTACATCTTTAATGTAATACAATTTAAGTCTAGACTGTCTTAAGAATTTCAATGATAGGTATATCTAGGTACATATTTTGTGCTTGTGTAGATGTACAAGAGACTCAATGATTTTGTCATTTTAAAAAAAACTTTTCCAGAATTTTTTCTTAGCATAAAGTAATATTTTCATGTATTTCTGAACCTATTTTAGATAATACTGTTGTTTGTTTTGAAGTAAGTTCAGATATTTGAGAGTTGCTATCTAACCTTACTATATGTTTATGTGAATTTACATTGCTCTTTTTTCTTTCTTCAGGGTACAGGTCAAATGACATTAGCTGGACTTGCAGACCAGTCAAAGCAGAGACAGCAGTCTGATCCCTGGGGAGCCCCAACCAGTAAACCACCCAGTGACCCATGGGGAGCCCCTTTACCAGCACCACCAAGTAACTATTATACAACTTGGATTTATTATTACTTGATCTAAGATGTAATTTATGAGTTAGAAATTCATTTATGGTGTCTTTATGTAGATAATATTTATATTAGCTATATTACAGGATTCCATAAAAAAATAACAAAAAATAAAAAAGTTTCGTGTAGAAACAAAGTCATCCTTCATGTTTCAGATAAGAGACTTAAAAGTTACATGTAGTGTTCTGGACAGAGCTGCTGCAGATATAATTCCTGTTCTGTAAAATTGATCTAGTCATGTTGTCTGGTTTAAGAAGAGAAAATGTGTAAATAAGAAAGGAAGCACTGCAAACTTCCAGACAAATCACTAGTGTTTGGCATGTTACATGAAGTTACATTAATGTAACATGTAATAGAAATACTCTATTGCTAATTTGCTAGTATATTCTGAGAAAATAATAATCAGTGATTTTCTGCTATATTTTATAGCCAAATAAAGCCCAAAACAGGTCTATTTACTCGTTAAAATACTATATATTCCTGAATGCCCTGTGCACATTCATGACTTAACAGCAGCTGACTTCAATCAGCTAGCTGATAAATAGAACTGACTGAAAGACAGAAAACTATCCCTATAGGTAGCCTCTGCTATGTACCATGCATGTTAAATTGAATTGGAATTGAAAAAAAAAATGTGAAAGAATATTCCATTCACAGTGATTGGAATTTGATTTTATGTTATCCCCCTTTTCTGATTTATCATGCTATGTTTTCCCTTCAGAAGCCACAGGTTGTTTTTAAAATAAATTCTAACACTATCGGAATTTTTTCTATATAGACAAAGAAGGCCGGAAACGTGCATTATTCTACAACAATGCACTCGCCGTTCTTATTATCTCCCTGTGTATTTTCACATTGAAGGCGCCATTTTGTTTAAAAAATCTGATAAATTAAAACAATTTTTTTCGAATTTTGTTGTGAAAACCATCTAGAATGAAAGAAAATGGTCTAACTAAGAAAATTAATCCGAACACCAATATCTTTAATTCAGTCGTTAACGCTGTACAGACGTTTAAAGTGTTGTTTACGTGACGTCACAATGTAGCGCCAAACAGCACGTGCAAAACAATCAAATCAAGTTCGCTATTTAATGTCGCAAACGAGTTTAGTTTTACATTTATTTCACTTTTGATAATTTGTATTTCGCTTGGAAAATTATAAACTGAAATAAATGAACAAACAAAGTTGTATCAACGTTTTCAAAATTCGTTATTTTCAAAATGTTTCTACAAACGGTAGATTTAACAGTTTTTTTTCAACCCACTGGTACGGCCTCTAAAGAACGTTTCTATTGGAAACTCTGAGGCGAAAACAAATTCAACCACCAAACATAAAGTCCAACGTTATAATAAAAATTATATTTTTTCTTGACGTATTAGAATGGAAATAGATATCAATTCTTCGTGCATTATTGTATAATAATTTCGTTCAAATGCTTTGTAATTAATCACTCAGGCCTATCGGCCTTCGTGATTATATTACTACGCATTTGAACTCAAACCGTGCATTATTCTACAACAATGCACTCAGAATTGATATCTATTTCCTAAATAAAAAAAACAACTGATTATGTATAAGAGTTAAGTTTTCTTGTTTTTATGTAAGGAAAATCTTATTTCAGAGAAAGAAATTCATACAATAACTATATATGTTATTGTAGGTTTTTTACTAAAACAACTTCTTGTTTTGTGTAGGTTCTCATAAACATCATGCTCCTCCACCAGCAAATGATCCCTGGGCATCACCAGCTCACCAGCCTTCCCAGCCTCCACCACAACCACAGGCTGACCCATGGTCTTCTCCTGCTATGTCCAGTCCAGCACAACAAAGTAAGTTTATCATGTGACCTTGACTGCAGGGAATATTATCAGTTACCTTTCCAATTTAGATATATGCTTGTATGAGTGAAAGAAAAATATATTTGTGATATTTTGTACACTTACTATGTATGACTATGTATGACCAATGGTTTTGAATATGAGAGCTATTGTAGTCGCCCCGGCGTCGGCGTCGGCGTCAGCGTCCGCGTCGGCGTCTGCGTTGGTTAAAGTTTTTTGTAAATTCAAATATCTCAATTATTGCTTGAGATATTCAATTGAAACTTACAATACTTATTTATAGTAACAATGTACATCAGATTGACAAGTTGGATAACTCTGCCTACAATATTGACAGAATTATGCCCCTTTTTAACTTAGAAATTTTGGTTAAAGTTTTTTGTAAAGTCAAATATCTCAATTATTGCTTGAGATATTCAATTGAAACTTACAATACTTATTTATAGTAACAATGTACATCAGATTGACAAGTTGGACAACTCTGTCTACAATCTTTACAGAATTACGCCCCTTTTTAACTTACAAATTTTGGTTAAAGTTTTTTGTAAATTCAAATATCTCAATTATTGCTAGAGATATTCATTTGAAACTTACAATACTTATTTATAGTAACAATGTACATCAGATTGACAAGTTGGATAACTCTGCCTATAATATTTACAGACTAATGCCCCTTTATAACTTAGAAATTTTGGTTAAAGTTTTTTTGTAAAGTCAAATATCTCAATTATTGCTTGAGATATTCAATTGAAATTTACAATACTTTTTTATAGTAACAATGTACGTCAGTTTGCAAAATTGCATAACTCTGTCTGCAATATTTGCAGAGTTATTTGCCCCTTTGAAACTTAGAAATTTTGGTTAAAAGTTAAAGGTCTTCAAAGATATTTACTTGAAACTTTACACATGTACTTAGGGTCATAATTGGAGAGTCATAATTGTATGTCACTGACCAAGTTCCATAACTCTACTCGCATTTAGGCTGATTCATCTCCCCTTTCCTACTTAGTCTCTAGGTTAATGTTTACATGCAAGTTTTACATATCTCAATAAGTATTAAAGATATTTATTTAAAACTTCACATATGCATTAAGAATTTAATTGTAGGTCACTGACCAAGATCCATAATTCTATCTTGCATTTAGGCTGATTTTTCTCCCCTTTTTCAACTTAGAAATTCATGGAAAAGTTTTGCTTGTAAGCTGTTATCTCCATAACTACTGAAGAGTTTGTGTGTTTTTGGGACATTATTATGCATTATTAATATTAAGCAGTGATTTACTTGATAAAACATCTAAATAACAAGCCTTTGTACCTTTTCGGTCAATTTTATGTTATAATGTATTCATAGGTAACTAGCATTATTATACTCAATAAACACTCTTGTGACAAATTTTTGAATAGTCGAGCCAATACTGTCCTCCGACAGTTCTTGTTATTTAGTTAATCACTAAATAGATCTATATAGACTTTAATAAATTGATAGTAAATAATTGTGAAAGACAAAGAAAGTTTTCATACAAATTGCATTAAATGTTATGGTTTCTTTCATTGAAATGGAAACCTATTTTATGCGAGAGTTGACATGATGTTTATTTCTCTTTAGCTTATCAATGATTATTATGATAAAGTCTAGACTAGCCAGCTAGATTTTGCCTCATTTCTGCCCCCTAGAGTTTAAAAAAGTAAATCCCCAGAGCTTTATACCTTATAAAGAATGAACATGTATCAAATTTGATTTTTGTTGTATTGTGTTTGACACTGTATCATTGGGTATAGTACTCCATGTAAATGCCAGCATGTGCTTTTAATAAAACATACATACTCTTGCTTTAGAACCTGCAGGTGATCCATGGGGTACACCATCATCTCAACAAGGAGCTTGGGATGCTCCTCTAGCTACTGGTGGATCACCTTATGATCCCTTCCAGTCAAACGGGACATCAAATGGCATGGGAAATAATCTAGATGATGACTTTGATGTACTCAGCTCTCGAATGTCACCAGCCAAGACAACAGAAACTACGGGTCAGAATTTAGACATGTTTGATCCTTTGGCAGGTACCAGGCTCAGCGCGACACGCCGTATGTGCAGTAGCATGTGTGTGTGTGCCTGACATGGTTGCCTTTGCTTCATATATTTTATTAATTTTCTGGCTGATGTGAACACTAACTGCTCATGGTGTGCCTTTAAGATTGTAAGATGTCCTTAAAATGCATTGTCCTTCAACAATCTTCTCTTTAAATCATAAAGCATACACTGGTGAAATTTCTAAAGTAATCGTTTTAAAATTTCTTGAAATTTGTATTATTCATTCATTATTAATTGCTTTGTAGAATGATTTTTCAGAATAATAAGAATACCATGCAAGTGTCTCAAACTATCAAATTTATTAAGAATTCCTTATAAAAAAATGAAGGACTAAATATTGTTTTTAGAAATTCTTAATGAACATATATCAGAATTTTATTGTTGCAAGAGAAAAATATTTTTAAAAATTTATTCCTTACAAATTTTTGATTTTACTGTTTGATTGCTGAATATTTTAGTGCTAGCACGTAATCTGTTATCTTGATGTGATGGTCTGATTTCTCATCACTTAGCAACTAGTGTAAATTGGTTTCTTAAATAATTCTATACTTTCATCTGAGAAAGCTGATCAATTATCACACTGTCTAACTTGAGATAATCTTACAGAATTCTTAGAATTGAAATAGCAAATAGTTAAAACACTGCCTATGATGATTTAACAAATGTTATTTTGAAATCTTTGTATTACTGTTCAATTTGTTATGAAAGCTACATTTGTTATTTTACTGACTAAAATTTTACCAGTCAAAAAATTATGTTTATCTATCTGAAAATGTAAGATAATTAGCTCCACTTTCAGCTTCTCTCAGCAGCGTTGGTTAACCTTTTTAATTTAAGGTCTTTTTTCTCAGAAACTGTAAAAGTTTTTCACAATCCAGCATTGATAGAAGTGCACTGTCTGCAGACAGGTCTTGTTAAGTTAGAAAGTTAATGCATGAGATAATGTTAAATTAGTCGGCCTCTTTAATGTCAAACGATTTGGCCTGTAGGATGTATGTATACCCATTAACTTTCATTATATTTAAAATAAAATCTCTGGAGTTTATTATAATCTGTTGAAAATTTTAGGCAATGTGTTTTGAGTGACATGAGTTATATGTTAATCATGATGTCAGAGTAGAAGCTTGATTTTATAATGTATAAATTGTTCTACTATAATCTTTTCTTACTACTGCTTACAGAAGAAAGCCAGATAGGTTTGACATGACTTTTCTTTGTGTTTTATTCTGATTTTCTAGTCTAGACCTTTCAACCGGGATTATACAAATAGCTAACATTTAGTTTATCCTTTGAACAAATCATTTATGTTTATTTTATTTTATTATAAACAAAATTTGATTTTTAAATTTACTCGAGTTTTCAAGGCTGTGGAAGATCTATTTTTGACATATTACATTAACATAGAAACTATATACTGTACCTGTGTACTTCTATTCATGGTCAATCTTTAAATATTCAACAAATAATGATTTAGTTTTGCATGAATTTTTACCTGGCATGAGAATCAGTGAGTAACCATCTTATTCAAAAATGTCCTAATATTATTTGATAGAACTGCTTTAAATATTAGAAATTTAATACAGTTTAAATATATATGTAGCAAATAACACAAAAATGTGAAGACCTGTATTTTGATGTAAAAACTACTGATTTAACAGATGTTTATACTTGTAATGTGTTTCTCCTTTGATTACTGTAAAATGTGGTTTATTTTAATCAATCGGTGAAATGTTAAAAGGAATCAATGTTCAGATAATATCAAAAATGTTCTTTGAGAAACTATATAAACTATTATGATAAATTTGTTATTCATTGATGCAGTAAACAAGGTTAGAGAACTATTGTTCTACCATAAGTCTTAAGTAAGCACAGAGATTTCTTACATGTCAGACAGTATATGCTCATAACTGTTGATGGTGGTAAGAACTTCTTATAATAAGCTTCTTTGATAAGATTTTCTTATATGTTAGAAAAAGATTCAGAATATGTACTCTAGTAGAGATGAAATATTGTAATATATCAGAATATAAATATCAGTATCTGTATAACACAAGTTACTGTTTGAAATTATTTTTTGTCCAATAGGATTGCAGTATTTCAAAAGAAATTGTAACACATTTACTTTGGTAAATAGGCACCAATTATTTAACATTTATTGTTTTATAACACATGTTATTAATATTACAGAGAAAGAAACAACTATTGATCCCTGGAACTTGTCTGGTATGCAGTCATCTATAGCCAACGAGCAGCCAAAAAGAAATAAAACTCCACAAGAATTTCTCGGCACACATTCTGGCCTGGTTAATCTTGATGAACTTGTTAAATCAGATCAGAATAGTAAAAAAGGTAATGAATCATGATGTTGTGGACGTAAGTTATTAGATTATTCTTAGACTCTGCTTGACAATGTTGAATTTGTTTTGTAAACGTTAATTTATGTTGAGTGTATTGTTAGTTATAATATAAATCAATTTAAAGATTAAAAAAAATACAAAAACAAAAAAAACTTCAGCACTGTTTTTAATATGACTAAATAGCATCACTGGTCGGTGGATATAATTAGATATATATTTAATTGTTTTTAATATAGTACACTAACTACAATATGATAATGTTTTGTTGTTTTCAGCCAATAATCCTTTTGCTACTGCACCATCTACGAACCCATTTGAACAACAAGCCCCAGTTCGTATACCCATGAGTCAGTTACAGGCTAACACATACAATAGTGGGTTTACTCAACCCAGTAGTGCCGGGCTTTTACCTGCACCATTGATGCCAATGGCCACACCCATGCAACAACAACAACAGAGTTCAAACCCCTTTTTGTGAGGTTATGCTGGAACAAGAACATCACTTGATCTGAACTTTTTACTGACATGAAAAATAAAATGTTCAACAAAATAATTGCAGTTAACAATGTCAACATGCTGGTCCATTTCATGAAAAATGGCATTTGTGGAAAAAAACAACATACTATATTGATAGATCAGATACATTTAGAGAAATTTGTATACTTCAGTATGTAAAATAACTCTATGTCATACTTTAATTACCTCATATCTCATACCCTTGATTTTTTATTTCTTACTATGAACTTCCACATCTGACTATTTCATTTCTTTTTCTTTTTTTTACTCTTTGCACAATAATATTTCTTAAAAGTGAATTAGTTAACTATGAGAAATACCAGTCATGTATTTATATAACAAATCATAACTTTCATGTCTGAGAATTGAAAGTAATATCATTTTTGGGCCTTAATGGGCCTTTAATGCAGATTACAATAATTATTTATTTATTGTATGTTGGCAGAATTGGCTAGATAACAACACTAGTCAATGTCTGAATTTCTATAATGATAATAGAAAGAACTGGTGATTGGTGGATTATAAATCACCAATAATTGATATAGAGAACATTGTTGAACAAGCTGCTGTCCTTGTAGAAGAATTCTTTATGTAGGATGAAACCATTTAATTAAGTGATCATTTAAGAGTAAATGAGAAATGTGATATTTTTGTACTAAATGTAGATTCATACACAATGTCTAGAGGTGTTGTTTAATGTATTCATATTTGAATTAGTTAATTTTTAAAATTATTTTTATGTTTTACTTTAGACTAATTAGTGAATGGGGGAGTTTAAATTTGTCTAAATAACTAATATGTTATTGTTTTTATGAGGAATATTTAATCATTATTTGAAGAGAGCTATGTTACAATGTATAAATGTAGCAGCAAAGTAACTTATAGGTCTGATTGATAAAATGGTGCAATTTTTTACACAGTAAAAGTATAAATACAACAACATTGAATAATGTAAATGATAACATGTTTTGTAAAATGAAAGAAGATGGACACTACAGTGATGATGATCTGTCGTCAGTATTCTACAGATTTGGTTGGAAAGTTCATTTTCTTGAGAATTTTACATGTTTAGAAACATTAATTGATAGTAGATGGATTTGTGTTGTTAGGAATTGTAAGATTATATGTTGCTGCTATCAGCAGTTCAAGTTGGAAATCATCCATGTCAGGAGTACACAGTATAAATCCTGGTCAAACTGGACATGATAGTCTATCTTTATATAGTTTAAATCCTGGTCTATACTGTACAAATAAGTTTTTAAAAAGTGAAACACCACAAACATAAGTAAAACAAGTTTATATGCTGGGTTGGGGGCTGAATTTTTATATTTACATTTATATATTATACAGGAAAATTGTGCGAATGTTGTTGTTATATTTGTATTGAATTGTGTGTATTACTGTGATATTAAGCTTAAACTGTGGCACCTGTATCAAAAATATATCATTGCCTTAAAACTTTATAAATCTTTAAAGGTCTGCATAAAAAAAGCTCCTGTACTTGAATTATAAAATTTATGATTTTTGAAAGAAGTTGTTGATTTTAACAGTTATTATTTCAAAAGGAACATGTTTTCCGATTTAAAAGTTAACTTGAAAGAAATGGTGCCATTGTTTTTTATGAATATATGTGTACAATTTTTATCAATTGCTTTAATGTAAAGGCTACTCAACTAAGAAAAAATGTAAGGCTTGTATCTCCATTCTATATATTGATATACAAACAGAAAAGTTGTTAGATAACCAATCAATATGGCTAATACTTCATTCAATATTTATACAAAAACTGTGAGGGCGGAAAAAGTTAATTGTTAGATCTCAATCAAAACTTACGTAATTTAATTTTTGCAATTTGCATTAAAATGTACATGTATTTATTTGGTATCCTTAAATGTGTATAATAGGTTGTTTAACTGTGCACTCTCAAAATGCCTTACTTAAAACAATAATTGATGTTCTCGTCAGCTTTGTAACGTAAAGTAAGGTTTCAATTAATGTGTTCACTTTACTTATTTTGTGTGTCCGCTGTTTTAGGATGCCATAATGGGTAGTCTTAGTCAAATAAAAGCTTTCAATATGGCTTCCCTTTTTCTACTTCTTTAGCCACAAACATGTAATTAATGTATTTATACTGCAACAAGTTTATAGATGGATATTTTTCGAGACTAGGCTATATCTGATAGTGAAGAATGCATTAAAAAATATCATAAACATTCTAATCATCTATGTTGTTCATATTTTTTAAATGTACAGAATGTAATCGTCCCGAGTTTTCCAGGTTGGGGGTTATATATTATGATTTTTTATTTGATTGAAATAATGCAGACATCAAAGCTAGTGTTAATTGCGACAGTTTAGTTTCCCTATATTTGACATTGACTTGTTTTATGTGAGGAAACTAGCTATCTATATTAATTACTCAACTAGGTGCTTGCTGTGTTAGAAGTCAAGCACCCACATGGTGTCAGTCCAGCAAACAAAGGTTATATGTAAACATAAGACCTATACATTGGTGGTGTGACATAAACTCTGTCTCTATCCTCAGATATTGTATTGATGGGTATCTATGGTCGCCATCCACCATTTTCAAAGCTTCACAGTCTCCATATCATTTTAACAGGGTAGGAGTAACTTATACTTAATTAAAAGGTGAAGAGCTATGAAATTAAACCCTCTACAACTAATATAGATCTGATAAAGACTTTAAACTTAATATATACAAAATAACAGGGTGTTACATATCGTATAAACTTACTCTCATTTTGCTTGATAATGTAGTTTGTTAGAAACATCAAACTTAAATGATTGCTGCCATTTTGAACAATGTATTAAACATAATGTACCATCAATTATGTATTATTTATTGACTTGGGTTTACTAGTCATGTATGGATGTATTGAGACAGACAGACTATTGTTAATACCTGAATTGTTTGAATCTATAAAATGATTGAACATCATACGACATCTTTTTACCATTACCAAGCTTATTATCTTATTTAAATGGATTTGTCCATCAAATTTTTTGTCATTTTAAGGGAAATAAACAAAATACGTACTGACTAAATATCAAAAAGCAGTGCAGACCATGATCGGATAAGTGGAGGTGCAGGCTGATCTTGGGCTGTATTAGTCAACATGGGTAGATTTAGCCACTGCCAGCAGGAAAAATGTTACATGCATCTAGATCTTACTCATTGTAAAAATGAAGGTCTGTATTTGGTTTTCTGGCCAACTTTATATTTTACTTCCGAACCAATACTTAAGTTGCTCATGAAAAATCCATTTCAATTAAATACATAAACAGTTTACTATGTTACATATACAAATAAAGCGGCCTATGTACAACATTGTTGGTGAGAAAACCAGACATACGCATAAGTTTATCAGAAACTATCAGAGAATGGTGTTTGTATTTGAATGCAGCACAAATATAGTTAAACATCTGGGAGAAAATACTTCATCACACCTGTAATTCTATTATTACATATTCAAGTCTGTCATAATTTTAAGGTATTTATAGTAATTTTTTAAAAATATGATAAAATATGATTATATAATTATGACTCACTGTAGAAATTGTGTTTCTTTAAGAAAGTTGGGGTTAACCATGTAGCGTGTTGACTTCACATTTATTGTTATCTTCCTAAAAAAGCAGATTTTGATCAGTGGCAAGCAAATAATTTGATCCGCGTCACGACAAAACCAACATAGTGCGTTTGCGACCAGCATGGATCCAGACCAGCATGCGCATTTGCGCAGTCTGATCAGGATCCATGCTGTTCGCTTACCAACTCTATTACAAGTAGAGAAACTGATAGCGAACAGCATGGATCCTGATCAGACTGTGCTGATGCGAAGGCTGGTCTGGATCCATGCTGGTCGCAAACCCATTATGTTGGTTTTCTCGTGACGCGGCTCATTTCTTTTATAAGCACCCTTTCTTTCTTTTGAAATTTTACATACAAAATCATATAAAGCAATAACTTTTCAGTCAAAACTAATTTGTTTAGGGTGATTTTTTAATATATGATAATTATATATGTAAATTACACAGATAATTTGTATATACATGATTATATATATGTGTGTATATACATGATACAAGAATAAAGAAATATCTTAACAAGTCATATTTTGTTGTATAATAAAATAATGTAAACATTTAGCTTTTGATGTATTTATTTCAAATCATAGTATTTTATTTTTGTACTTGTAATTTTAATGTGTGTTATAAAATTAAAAAATACCTGTGTCCAAATATTTACTGTATAATCCTTGATGAAGGAAAACAGTATGGTTATGTGATATTTCACGTTTGAATGTTAGAATCTCTTAAACAATAATTTCTGTTACTTGATCTTGTTGTTGTCTGCTTATTGCAGTTTTTCTGAAAGTTTTGTAAGTTGAGAAACAAAATGGTTTTCTCTTGTATCACTGATTTCTGTAAAAAAATTATACTTGTGCTTAGTAATCATGAATCTGTTTTTTCACTGTTTATTTCTGTGTAAAAACTGAATAAACCATTGGTTGAATAGAAATCATATAAAAGTGTTCAAACTACATGTAATTACAATTACAATTAGCAGTTATGTGTTTATAAAACAAGGTTTAGAATAACATTGGATATTTTTATTACAAATTATACATAAAGTCATTTCATGTACAGAAAATGCCTTAAAAGGGAAATTACTCATTCACACTTAAAATGGCAGTGACAATATGATTATATTGTTACCTCTTTCTCTACTGAAATTTTAAATCAAAACACCTCACAGACATTTTATATATATAAATATATATACAAGTCAAACTTGTTTGTAAAGATCTGCTATCGAGAAAATATTATAATTATTTAGGTAGAAAGACAGTTTGTTGAAATCATATCTATTGAGCTGTGTAAAGGTGGGGAAGGGAGGAGGTGCTACCCGTTTAAGACAAGTATTTAGGTAGAGATGATGTTAACTCAGCGCAGGGTTGACTGTATTATATCTTTCATTTCCTCATAAAAGAGAATGGTGAAACAGTTTTTCTATATATATATGTGTGTGTAATGCAGCTCAACATGTTTATTTTTTTCTTGTCTCATGCAGATATGTGTAACATAGCCAGGAATCTTCTTTTACTATTGATTTTATTGATGTACAAATGTGTGAATGAGGATCATGGAAAGATGTTTGGTTATCTGCTAATAATTCTTGTATTCTCCTACATGAAAACATGTATCTGCCGAAGTCTTAATAAACTAAATAATATACTACTGTGTTTCTTTTTGTGATTTGATGTCCTGCTACTCCAACTAAAATTACAGAATGTCTTATTAGGTGATAATTTAAAAAAAACGAAATCCTGTACACCTTACACTTTTAAGAACCAGATGTTTTTCCTAGACTGGAGTAATTTCTATATATATTGTACTTTGCTATAAAAACCCACAACATTTACAATGCTGACTTTACTTTAAATAAACATTATATCACATGTAGTATCTGGTCAGACTTGAGTTGTGACCTATTGTAAAAATGTTTGTTAAATTTACCCTGATTTTAATCTCATTGTTTGGTTAAATTTAACTTTTACAAATTTTGTTCCTATCCTATAATACAAATTGTGTGAACCAGCAGCCATTTTATACCTTGTTTAATTTTGGTTAAAGTTTAAGCCACCTTTATTATGTGGGATAAATTAACCAGAAATCTATAACTAAAATTTTTATACAATCACTTTACCGATTTAACAATCCTTGTTTTAAACAGTCAAGATAAACAGGTATTTGATAAAGTTGAAATTAACTTCCTTCTTCAATAAAGAACAGTATGATTAAAGTGCAAAAACCAATACAATCATGTATAATGTTTATATTATAAGAATAAATAACATTTTAAGTATCCAGTACATTATAAACTTATCAGAAATTTAAATTAATACAAGAATCTTGAATGACAACTAATTTTTTCTTTGTTTTTTTTTTTTAATACAGACTTGCTACAAAGGAATATTACAGATGAACTATATTTAGTCTTAAAAGGAAAAGAGAAAATATAATAAAAAAAATTCCAGAGCAAAATAGCCTTTTCAATATAAATTCAGTTAGTTAATTAAAATAGTCATGGATGTAACTACAGGTTAGAAATAAGTTAATTCATTTTAAAATTTGAAGTTTTATTTCAGATACTTTTTTATATTTATCATGTCAAGATGTTTATAGTATGTAAAACTGATTGTGACTTTATTACTCCATCACCCAATTATAAACTTCCATCCCAAATAAATATTTCTTCAATAAATAGCTGGGTAAATAAACTTAACAAGAGGCATAAATTGTTTACTAGTATAGCTTGGTACAAACTTGTTCCATATATGTATAATGTAATGTAATTGTATCCTTATAATGGTAATACAGATGTACTCTGAATTATATGTTATTAATCTTGTGTTTGTGGACCTGTCTGTCTATATTTTCACTATAGAAATATATTACGCTAATATATGTCTGTAATATTTAACATCATTTGCAAAGGAGATGTAGCATTAGTCATCTCAAAAGCACAGTTTGAGGTGAATCTAGTAGTTACCATCCGACTTGAATATCAAACATATAATGTAATTATACACCCTTAACTAAATTACATTAATGAAAGGTATATGTATCTATTGTTATTGATAATATTCTGTGCCTTATACTGGTATAATAACATGTTAGAACACTCAGAATTTAAGCAGTCATTTGGCATGAGTTATGACCCATGACCAGATAATTTTTTTTTTTGCCCTCCTTTGAATTTGGAACAGTCTATTTGAAGTTTAAATAATTTCAATATCAAATATTTAGCTTCCAACAGTATAGAGTCAAACTGCAAAGACTCTAGCAGAGAAGTATATATACTTACTTCGGGCATGTAGCTTAACAATGTGCAGGCCTGTGTTAGAAATAAAGTGATGATAACATGTTTGCTGGTGTTGTGTGTCTGGGAGGGGTGGGGGGGGGGGTCGAGGGCATGCAATTCTGGAACAAAATTTTCATCAGGTCCAGCAGTGAAATGACAAAAGCTGTATCGGATTAAAATGTGACCGATCACAAAGGCTGTATTGATATAAAATAAGACCAATGACAAAAGCTGCATTGATATAAAATGTGACCAATGACAAAAGCTGCATTGAAATAAAATGTGACTAATGACGATATAAAATAAGACCAATGACAAAGACTGTATTGATATGACAAAGGCTGTATTGATATAAAATGTGACCAATGACAAAGGCTGTATTGAAATAAAATAAGACCAATGACAAAGGCTGTATTGATATAAAATGACCAATGACAAAGGCTGTATTATATAAAATGTATTCAATGACAAAAGCTGTATTGAAATAAAATAAGACCAATGACAAAGGCTGTATTGATATGACAAAGGCTGTATTGATATAAAATTTGACCAATGACAAAAGCTGTATTGAAATAAAATGTGACTAATGACAAAGGCTGTATTAATATAAAATAAGACCAATGATAAAGGCTGTATTAATATAAAATAAGACCAATGATTAAGGCTGTATTGATATGACAAAGGCTGTATTGATATAAAATTTGACCAATGACAAAGGCTGTATTGATATAAAATAAGACCAATGAAAAAGGCTGTATTGATATAAAATAAGACCAATGACAAAGGCTGTTTTGAAATAAAATAAGACCAACGACAAAGGCTGTATATTGATATAAAATAAGACCAAAACAGGTTTTTACTCATTTCGAGTCTTATTCTGTCATCTTGACCAACATACACCAAACAAACCTTGTTGGAGCAATTTATTAAAAATATCGATGTTGCTTTTGTTGTATCATTGAGTGCTTTCAACAAAAAGTTATTGATCAGTTTATTTATCCTATCTTTAAAGGGTAGAGGTATAATGAAAGAGACTCCACTGATGTTTTTGACATGACAGGACTGGAAACAAACTTTCAATATTAACGTTTGTTTGAAGAAGGTCTTGACCACAATCTTGTGTGCATAATCACACTTGTTTCTTTTTGTTTCTTTTTCTTTTAAGAATACGTTTTTGTAATTATTATAACTGAGAAAATTACACCTTTCAATAAAATGGGGCTAAAAATAGCACCAAAATACGATTTTCACTTTGTTTCTGAGTATAATTCTTAATGATCTTTTGCATATCTTCCTGTTTTATGAAGTTCAAATTTTATGTTTAAGACTTTGGACCTCAGTGTCGTTCCTTTAAAATCCGTTCCGTTTTATACGTTTTAGACCAAACCCTGCCCGCTTTACGCATGCGCACCCGGATGTTTTAGTTGTTCACGAAAATCGAAGCATTTTCTGAGAAAACTAAACTATTTTCTGTTAATTGCACCTTTAAAGAGTTTGACAGCTCTTGCATTTTAAAATTCTTATTGTTTTCTTGTAGTGATCATGATATATTTAGATGAGGTGTCATGTATATGTATACAATGCGGACTAAAACTGGTGTTCCGTGCTACCCCACCCACCACCCATGCCTGACATTTTGGGTGGGTGAGAAGTGAAACGCGTTGAACATCATTAACATTTTACAAATTATTCTTGTCCTAAGTGTTTTGGAACTTTTTAAGTAGGAAATTTCTACATGTTACTGTAATTAATTGATTTTTATATGAAGACTTGGTTATGAAAACACCTATAAAAGCATATAATTTAAAACCACTATTGAAATGCAGACTTAATGGCAGTGTGGTTGTCAGTTTAACCAAATTGCTTTAGTGTTTCAACAATGAGCGAAGACAATCCGCCTCCATTGCCTCCTAGATCTATCATAAGACAGCATATACCTGGACACAGTGACCATGCTTCAGCCGCATTGCAACAGCAAGACCTGCAACTGTGGCAGCATGTGTCTCTTTCACAGCCTCAACAAGCTGCAGGGGTTCAAGCTATGCCAGTCGGAATGGGGTTCAACAGTCGACCTCAGCAGCAGATATGGCCTGATCATTCATCTGCCTTTTCTCAAAGAGGTTGGCAACCATTTCCACAATCACATACACAGCAGAGTCCTCAAGAGTCGCAGGATTTAAATCCTCAAGTTGTAAGATCTCAGCAACAGAGCTGGCCTAGTGATATGAACCAGCTTCAGCAACTGCAACAGTTACAAAACATTATTTGGCTGCAACAGCAGCAGCAACAGCAAATTCAGCTGCAGCAGCATCAGTCCGCAGAGCCGAATATTCACCATCTTGATCCAATTGGACATGGACATCGTGATGATCAGGCTCATGAAAAATTCACTAAATCACCTTCACCACAAATTGAAGAGAACAGGAACTCTCCAGCTGTAGGCAGGCAATTTATGCATAATGTAACTAGTCCACAACAGCAATTGTGGCAGCAGCATCCTCAAGTAATGCATCAGTATGATATGCAGCATGGAGAGCCACAACATTCACAGGCTTTTCAACACACCCCAGTCTCTCATCATCAACCACTCTTTGCTCAGCAACAATATGTGCAGCCAGCTGTTTGGCAACATCCTTCACCCTATAGCCAAGTACAGATGCAGCATTTAAGACAAAGTACACCACCAATACAGCAACATGTCTTGTGGCATCAGCAGCAGCAACAACAACTTCACCAGCACCAGCTTCAGCAACAACAACAACAGCAACATCATCACCATCCTGTAGAGCCACCACCTCCATATTCACCTCCAACAAATAGTTTCTTAGAAAAGTCTCCTATGAAAAAAGATATTGAAGCAAGAAATGAAAATGTTAGCCTGTTTAATAATAATCGTCTACCTACTGATCCAGTAGTAAGTAGGAATGATGCTATGAGTAAAACAGAAACTACTGTATCTACAGTGAATACTGTAGGAATCACTCCATCGGCACCACCACTATCTATTACCAATCAACATGTGAGTGAACCAGCTAAGCAGATAAGAATACTTAGTAAATCCAATCAAATTAACGAGGAGAAAAATAATTTCACAGTGCCATCACAGAGAATACAAGATACAGAATTTCCCAATGTTTCTTCCGTTCAGCAAGTAACATCTCAACCATTGACTCAAAGACCAATCCAAGGAGTAGCAGCTAATACTAATGTTTCAAAGCCTCAGAGTTTCAATCCAAATCCTAATATAAATCCATATCAAAATTTGAATCCTCATAATGTAATGAATAAAAACCTTCAGGGATTGTATGGGAGTCAGAATGCTAGGTACTCTGCTCCATTTAAAGATGGAGGCTATGGTCAGGGTCCAAACATGCAACAATTCAGACCAAGATCACCTGGCTCAATTATGAGAAATCAAACCCCAAACTCAGCATTAGCAAACAACGCTTTCCAGAGAAACTCACATGCACCAGGTACACTTTATTCATGAAGATATATGATTTATTATAGAAAATGTATTTTGACCTGTCATTGTGATTGGTTGTTAAATGTGTATTCTAAAGTTTTAATTTGCCTTTTTTTTTTAGATAAAGTACAAACAGAGAAGACTTAGATTTTATGGATGAATATTTTCAAAAATATTTTTTTAATGTTTCTTTGTAGCATCCAATTTTCATCGTGTTGAGAATATTGAAGTGAACTTATTTGTACAAGGATTAAATCCACGCACTAGGGCAGAGAGTATACAGAATTATTTTGAAGCCATTGGTCGACCAGCAGTTGTCAAAGATGGCATACTGTTCAATATGGAACACACCGAAGCTCTTGTCATTTTTCAGCAAAAACCTGGTAAGTTTTCTTATAGTTATAATGTAAAAGAGAATGATGTTGTAAAGATGAATATATGTGGCTGGTATGATGATTTTTTTCCTGACTATAACTCAAAATGTATTGGAGGTAACAACTTGAAACATCATAGGTAGCTTGGCTAAAGAAAAATTGATTACTAACTAGGGGTGTAACAATACAGCAAAAACCGTATTGCAATATATTGCCATTTTGCTGAAGCGTATTGCAATATATTGCAATACGTATTGTCTTGTATATGTTTTGATATAAAGATGGAGTAACATTTATATATTATTATTATATGTATATATTTTTAGTAGATACTTAATAAAAATGTAAGGAATAAATAGAAAGTAAAGTGTAACACAATTTGATAAACAAAACTAGTCGCGTGTGACCTTTCACATCTGGGCCGCTTATGTAAATTATGCGGCCGCTTATTGACTTTTAAGTGTACTAGTTGTCGGATACTTTTATCTTACGTTGGCGCCAACAAAATTGGCCAATTAAAGATTTTATGTGAAATTTGTACAAAATTAGAAGGCAATTAATTGAAAATTATGATTTTTATAAAATACCGGTTTTCCAAAAATCGTACCGCGGTACGAAATTTATTTTTTCATATTGCAATATATCGGTATACCGGTAAACCGTTACACCCTTATTACTAACGTAAGAGCTTGGATAAAGAAAAAGTGATTACTTAAGAAGTATATTTATGTTTTGCATAATTTTGAAGTAATTGTCCTTTATAATTGTTCATACACAATGTACTCCATTTTTGTCCAGAGCATTACTTGCAGTCAAACATGAAACTCTTAATACCTTGCTGATGGACTGGCATGCAGGATATCTTAGTCGGGACAGTGGCAGATTTAATATATTCACTTAACTGATGAAAAAGTTTCTTTGTTTTAGATATGCCTAAGCTAAGACAAACTGTTAAAGCTAGGAAGTTAGATGGATTTAGCCTGGAGATTTGTGAAGTCCCACCACCAAGAGGTATTGTAGTTAGTAGTGATGGTCATATACGTAGCAGAGAGGCACTAATTTATTATTTTGAGCGCGAGTCTATAGGTGGTGGTCCTTTGAAGAAAAATGGAGATGTGGAAACTGAGGATGGTTGCTGCTTGCTGGAGTTTGAAGATTTTAGAGGTTAGTTGATTCATTGATTTCTTATTAATTTTTGTCAGGAAACATGATTTTCTTGGGACTGAAGTGCTAATTTTGATAATTATTTCTTATAAAAAGTAGTAAGGGTGAGAAGATACGAAATTGTATTTATTTTTATGTAGAAAAAGTAAAACCTGTGCAGAATGATTTGATTGCATATTTGATTTGATGACATGGTTCAATGTAAATTATTAGACATATCATGACAAAGGTATATAGCAACATTCCAGTTTTACTGGTGGAGGAAGACCTCGGGGATCCCTTGTGGATTACTTTAGGCAGTGTTATGCATGCTGATGCAAGTAGAACTACCAACCTTCTATAAGGTAGCTGGATAACTTTCTTGTTTGAAAGTATTTCAAGTCCCAGGTGGGATTCCAACCAACAACAGTGGCATGATAGTGATTCAAGGTCAGCAACTGTTACCACTCAGCCGGAGAGTTAGTAACAGCTACTTGTAATAATCTGATTGTAACTTTGATTTAACAGCTGCTTGTAATAATCTGATTGTAACTTTGATTTAACAGCTGCTTGTAATAATCTGATTGTAACTTTTTTTTAGTTGTACAGCGTTTGTGCTCTGGACAAAGACAGCATCGTGTAGATGGAATGAATCTCCGTGTATCACCGTACTATCAATGTGACAATGGTGCTATATGGGATATGAACATGCACATTGTCCCTATACCAAAACCTGTCAATATACAAATTCTTCCAGATCAGCTAGAATTTGTTAAAAAGTAAGAAAACAATGTATTTGTTTGTGAGCCTTCACTTAGTATGAGGAGGTTTGGTTTGTTATTTTATATTTGTAAAATTGATAGAAGTGTTTTGATACTTAACCATCAACATCAATGCTAACTTTTAATGTCATTGCATATAATGTTACAATATTCTGTCCAATTCTGCATATAAAGTTGCAGTATTCTATTCAAATGCCTTGTCAAAATTTTGAATCATTTTTAGCTGGACTATTCGATAAGAATAAGTAGAGCTATTGTAGTCACCCGAGCGTCGGCGTTGGCGTCCGCGTCGGCGTAACCACTTATGTTAAAGTTTTTGTAATACCTCAAATATTTTCAAAGTCCATTGACATATGGCTTTGAAACTTTGAACACTTGTTCACCATCATGACCCCATCTTGTAGACAGAAGGTGGTAACTGTATCAAGCATTTTGACAGAATTATGCCCCTTTTTCGACTTAGAATTTACATTAAAATTTTTGTAATACCTCAAATATTTTCAAAGTCCATTGACATATGGCTTTGAAACTTTGCACACTTGTTACCCAACCTGTAGACAGGAGGAGGTAACTGTATCAAGCATTTTGACAGAATTATGCCCCTTTTTCGATTTAGAATTTACGTTAGTTTTTGTAATACCTCAAATATTTTCAAAGTTCATTGACATATGGGTTTGAAACTTTGCACACTTGTTCACCATCATGACCCCAACCTGAAGACAGGAGGAGGTAACTGTATCAAGCATTTAGACAGAATTATGCCCCTTTTTCGACTAAGAATTAATAGTTTGCATACCACCCCAGGTTATTTTCATATTCTATTGACATCTGGCTTTGAAACAAGTTGAAATATTATACTCTTCTTTGAGAGCGTAATAGGACTCTCTCCAAGGCCTTTAACTGTGACATGGATTTAAAGAAAAAATTTGCCCTTTTGTAAACTTAGAAAATTTTACATTATCAAGGCTCCTTTACTATCAAGCACTAAGAAGAGTCGAGCGTTGCTGTCCTACCGACAGCTCTTGTTAGTTTGTCTGTTATGAAGGAAAAGTCAAACTATTAAGATTTCTGTGTCGTCAATTTTGTTGTTGTGCAAAAAATTTGATGTAGCCCTTTATTCAAAGATTTAAAAGTTATCAATGTGAAACTTGGTATTTTGAGAAGGTGCAGTTGTTAGAAAGGGGGCATAATTCTAAAAGCCACATTTATTGGAGCTATGCCCCTTTTTAAATTAGATTTTTGTTGTTGTCAAAAGCGGTTATTTTAACAGAAAAGCATTAACACCACTTGCAGTGTTCTTGTTAGATCACCTTAGAACAAACCAATCAGTGGTGAGATTTATGATAGCATGATTGTCCATATGACAGAGGTAACCGTAAATGAATAATTAATATATGACATAAAAACATGAATAATTCTTTAGTTATGATTTAAATTCATGAATAGTTCATATGATATGTGGTATTAATGCTAACACAAAATGACTTAATTATCACAAATTTGCTTATGTTTGTAGACATTGTCAACCTCAGTTCACAGCACGTCTACGTGATAAATATGCTGATATGTCATTTTCCAAAGATCATGTAACAGTAAAATGTACATTACGACAAAACATGCCAAATTACCGAACTTTGGTTCGAGGCTGGGAAACTGGTGTACAAGAGGCTGTGGCTAAATTCCTTGCTGGAAATATAGATCAGGCAGATATTGGTGTTCCTGAAATGATCTGGGATAAACTGATGGAATTTCTCAATTCAGGTAAATAAGTAATGTTTATTGCTTGCAGTTATGATGACAAGCAAATCTCATATTGTTTATAGAAAGTGTTTCCTTGAGGACATAAATCTGGGCAAGTATATTATTGGTGGGTTCTAGCATGTTATAAAGTATTATAAATTGAGAGGTCTCATAGCTTACATTCTCTCAGATTGCATGTTGAATGATCAGTCATCAAGAAAAACAATGCAAGTCAGTAAAAATGATTCAGTTTTGTGTTGACATATGTGCAACTTAAAAGTATTCATGTTGTATTTTATGATTTGTGTTACAGTTATATCAATTTGGAAATCTTGCAATTCTTTTTGAAAAAGTATAATGATTAGATTTATGTTTAACCATATAATGTTCTTTGTTGAGTGGACCTTAATGTTTATTATAGCATAAAATCGGCTATTTTCCCCTCTTTTGCCCATGTTATAACGGGGCCAAAACCATGCGTTAACATAGTCACGCGCTCTTGTTATAGCCCGGTTTTACCTATGCGCAATACATACAGGGCCCAGTAAACAAATGACGATTTGGCCTGTTTGCCAGAGTCATGCGCTCTTGTTATATTGGAATTATTAATTCGAGGGCCTCAGTCGCATAACGGCGAGCAGCATTCAAGAAATTATGCCGGCAATACTGCGTATAGACATCGCCGCTTATCTTGGTTGTCGCCCTTTCTTAGAAACGGACAGTTGTCAATGTAAACAAATAGAATCTGTCATTCAGTTTAATCCCCCGATTAACTTACAAAAATGGAAAGCACAAAATGAATATAAGAAAACGTTGTTTTATTGACGTTTATATTGATAAATGTTCTGTATGTTTCTTTGAGAGAATAATGTTTTATGCCTGATTTTTTTTTAAACTTGCGTGCTTAAAAAAAACCGATTCTGAATTTGAATTTGATGTCACTGATCTTTTTCCTACTGCCAATCTGTAATCATTCTAGGCATTTCTGAGGCGTCTGTTTTGTCTTGGGTAGAGTAATGTTATGTTTTTCTTAAGTTAATATATCTCCAAAGTTAAACTTTGTTAAATCAATTAAAATTCGAAATTTCCTTCGGTTCTCAAGTTGTTGGCCCCGGAAAAAATAAAACGCATACGTAAAACATGTAGAGTTGGATAAATACCGTTCAAGCACAAGGATTTAATGTTTGTGTTTTATATATAATATACATCATGAATCTGTTTTAAAATTTTATGCTATAATAGCGTCAACGCACGTTTATTTCGTGTTATAAAGTCTGCAGAGTCCCTCGGAACTGTTGGAGCCCTCGCCCTACCGGGCTCGGGCACCAACCGTTCCTCGGGACTCTGCAGACGTTATAACACGGAAAAACGTGCGTTAACCCTATAATACATTTGATTTTGCTAAAACAAAGTTTGCTTAACTATTTAAAGGGAGACCAGAATTCAAGGACCTGTTGATGAAACCAGATCGAGAACGAAGGTCAATTAAAGTAGTAGGATACAAGGTGAATGTGAAACTAGCCAATCAGGTGCTTAGTGACAAAGTAGAAACACTTTCACGAGAAGCTAGACGCAAGACAGAGACAAGAAAAGTGAAGTCAATAGAAAAATTGGTAGTACTGGAGATTCAGGGAACGTTTAGTGCAATATGTAAGAAGTATGGGGACATGAAGATACATGTAGATGGAAATGAGGTTATAGTGGAAGGTGATCCGGCAGATATTCCTAACGCATTCATGGAAATGTACTCCGAGTGTGATCAAATTGAACCTGTTGAATTTAAACATTCAAAAACGAGGGAATGGGTACAATTTGCCAAGAAGGAACCTTCAATCAAGCATATTCAGAAGAAAATGGATCAGAAAGGTTTACAGGGAAGTTGGGAAATTACTGGAACTTTGATCAATGTTTTTGTTGCAAAAGATGGAAATAGTAATGGTATAAAAGACATTATTCTTGAGTCAGTTTTAGAAGAATCAATACAGGTAGATAGAACTTCCACAGACTTGTTGAACTCAGAAGTATGGGGAGATTTCCTTTTAGACAATAGAAGAAAGTTTAAAGATAAGATAGAAGTGTTCACGAAAAAACAGCAGATTGTGGTGGTAGTTGGAACAGATGATGTTGTTCCTCATATTGTAAAACTGTTGAAGGAGTTCCTTGATTCAAAAACTGTAAAGACAGTGACAGTGCATTGTGAGCAAGTTGTAGCAGACTTTATATCAGAGTGCTGGACAGAAAGTGACTTCGCAGAGATACAAAACAATGATGTGGTTATCAAAACAAAAGGTATATATTTAAAGATCCTGTAACACAATTTTTTCATGGTTTTATTTCATAAATATGATGCTCAAATTAAGATTTGTCAATATTGTAAGTTCCAATAAGCATTATTTATAAAGATATTACCCAAGTTAACATTTCATGTAAATAAAGGGAGGTAATTAGAAATTTATTTTCTATAAATTCTAGGTCAAATTTTCCAATAAGAAAATAATGCATGTAATTAATTGATTCAACATAATGTGCACAAATATTTGCAGTACACATTTTACATATTCTTCGATGTTCGAAAATTGTTTAATTTGCATAATTATATACTATATAATATTTTGCAAGTGTGGTATACATACAGTAATAATATCAGTCACAAAACATACAGGATCTTTAAATGATGAATTAGAATATGTATGTTTTAAATCTTTTTGCAGACGGACATTTTCATTGTCTTTTGTTAAGATCAAAGACATTGGATTCAAAGTAACTCTTGTTGTTAATGTTTCTTACTTTGTAAATATTGAACATAAAACATATTTTAAACAATGGAAATGGTTGCTGGAGTAAAATTCAAAGTAATATTTCACTTCTTTAATGCTGGTTGTTTTCTTCTTCAAGTAAACATAGTTATTATGTTTTCAGCCAATGGTATAGAACTGACTGGTTTATCTGAGAACCTGATCAAAGGGAAACAAAAATTGGACTTGAAGTTAAAACGTATGTGTAGTAAAAGACATACACTTAAAAGGACAGGAATTCATTCTGTTTTGGAAGCTTCCAAACACTCTGGAACAATAAGTGCCATTGAGAAGGAGAATAAATGTATAATCAAGCTTCCTCAAGAGATTGATGAAAGCGTTTCAGTGATGCTGAGTGATTTTGAGGTGATTGAGCCAGAAATGTTAGATGGTAATATTATTAATTCTACTTTAAAACATAAAGATTTAATTTATAAAGTCTTAAAGTAATGGTTTGAGAATTTTCATAATACAACATCTGTGGTTTTTGTCTTACCTAGTAATAAATTGAAATAAGACAGTAAACACAAATATTTATCATCAACAATTACTACACTGTTACTGTATACTATATAAATATGATTTGTAAACATGTGAAGCAGTGTGGTAGGTATGCATTTAATGTTAAATTATTTGATGATAATTCAGATAGCACACAGTCTGGTAGGTATGCATTTAATGTTAAATTATTTGATGATAATTCAGATAGCACACAGTCATCATCGAGTTCAGCATCAGCTCCGAAATATTTCCAGACAAAGAAACATAAAATTAAGGTCCACCTGGTACATGGAGAAATAGGACATCAAAAGGTAAGATTAATGAACCTTCTTTTACACTTGAACAGATTTAGGTTACAATTTAGGTCCAGAAAATATGAAGAATTATTGTAGGTAGTCTGTTGGCTTAGCTCAATATGGAGAGTATTGGATTAGTAATCCAAGGATGGCTTGTTTACACGTTGGGCGAGGTGACAGTTTATCTCATCATGTGGTAATAAAGTTGACTGATCTGAATCATTATTCTGTATGTGATGTAGGGGCGTCTTTGGCCAAGTGGTTAAGATTGTTGACTTCGAACCTCATGCCCGTCACTGCTGTAGGTTTAAATCCTGTCGGGGGGACGAGAGATTCTTTCATTTGAGGAAACTATCCAGCTAGCTTACGGAATGTCAGTTGTTCTGCTCTGGTACCTGTTAAAGCCTGAAATAATGCATGGAATGGCATATGAGGTCTACTTCCTTCGTTAAAGCTTGGAAGTTGCCATATGACCTCTTCTGTGTTGGTGTAATGTAAAACCCAACCAGTTGCTTTAATGTTTAATGTGAAATAATGTAAAGTTGCCTGATGTAAATAATTACACTGACAGTTATGTTTCATTTGTTGTAATGTAATGTGAATGTGATGTTAAAAGATTATCAAACATGACTTACTTCAAATATAATAATGAGACATCTGAATTATGTCAAGCTTAGAAATAATCTTAACACGTTAAGAAAATAAAGCATGATTGTAAATACCCATTGTTAAATGATTGAACTGTTACAGGCTGATATAATAGTGGCGAGTGCAGCCAGTAGCCTGAACCTTAGGAGTGGCTCAGCATCGTACTCCCTGGTGAAACAGGGCGGAGCTCAGCTACAGACTGACTGTAATAGACTGTACCCTAATGGCATTCAAGATGGTGAAGTAGCTGTTATTGACTCAGGAAATCTTAACTGTGATAAAGTTTATCTCACCTCACTACCATCATGGAAAGAAGCTGGAAGCAATGGGGGGAAGGTAAACACTTATAACAACTTCCTGTATGAAAGTTATATGAACTCCTACATTGAATTTTACAATTCTTGCGTAACTTTGTCAGTATTACAGAAATTATATCTCTCAAATATCATGGGTTGGATAAGATCAGTATGTTTAGGTTTCCAGTTCTCTCGGCCAGTTATAGTTATGTGTTGAAATGACGTTAGTGGTACCTTCCTAGGACTCTATAGATAATTTAAATATTTGTAGCTGGCTGTTTTTAATTGAAAATAATTAATCCTACACTCTTGTTGATTTCTATTTCATCTAGAATTATTTTCTGTATTGAATGAGGTTTTGCTCCGCGCATGCACATCATTGTGTTTCCACCCTGTCGAGGGACAAGCATTGAAATTTTTACTTAGCAATTAAAATCTGGTGTAATCGTAGATTGGAACCATAATTATTTGAGGAATATTTGGTGTAAATAAAAGAAAGAGTTTGTATTACTTATAGACTTATAGGCATGTTTACAATGATGAATTCTACTTATTTAACAATACACCCATTTATCAAATGTATAAACAAATGATCTACTATTTACAGGTATTCAGGAATGCTATGAGGGAATGTTTACGACTGGCAGACCTTCATTCTAAGAAAACTCTTGCCATTAGTACCATGGGAACAGGTGGTTACCTAGGTTACCCGCGTGATGTAGTTGCTAGTATAATGTATGGGGCTATTGTTGAGTTTGATAGCTGTTATAGAAGGACCAGTTTGAAGGACATATCAATTATTCTGTACACTAAGGATACAGAGACAGTGAAAGCATTTGAAGAGCATGAACATATGAGGGTATATGGCAGTGCAAGTCTTGGTGTACTTACTACAGGTAATCTTAGACATTTCCATAAAATCATCGTTTAGAATAGGAGAATGAAAATGTATCAAAGAATCCATAGTTTTACATTTATATTTGCGTAATTTTATTTTAGGCAGCAGAGGTCAAGTACTCATACGATTTATTTGATAAGTCCCTGGCCTAAACAACATATATACATAGAAACAAATATACTTACACAAGAGACATTTGGAATTTACAACTAATATGGACTTGCTCTGGTTGCAGTAGTACTGTATGTTTTCTCCTCCAATTATTTTAGGTGTAGAAGCATCAGATGGTTCTCTGCCATTGCCATTATTTTCATTTGATTTTGTTCAATAGATTAATTATTTTCTTTAATTGTTACCTTGATAAATGACCTGAATCTATTCATTGAACAAAAGATAAGTATGTCAGTTAAATGATTCCATATCTGTTGAATATGGTTTTTTTTTTCAGATTTCTTGGGTGGAAGGATAAAAATAGAACTAGTCACAGATGATCTGTCCATACAGAAGGTAAAGTTCTGAAATTTTATGTCTAATAACTATTTTCTTATAGAATTTCATGTATGATGATAAATATGACTTTATTATAAAAAGGTTGGTGATTGGACTGATATTTTTGATAGTGTCCAAATCAAAGCACAGAGTGACATCTACAGTTGTCTTACTAGTAAAGGTGGAAAGTTTTACATTGCTTGCTAATTTAAATAATGTTGATGTGATTTATAATCCATTTAGAAGAGTGACTACAGAGTCATTGCCTCTGACATAAATTAGAATTTGTATAAAGTGCTTATGTTTTATAGGGAAACATTTTGACAGTCCTTAGGTAGTTGTGTCTAAGATACAATTTGTAACAAATAATAAAAGTTTATTATGTTTTGTGTACTCAACATTATTAAATAGAATATGCATTATCATACTTTAAACAAGATCAGCTGTCTTATTTATTTGGCTATCTTATAACTGGGCTACCATTAAAATGTATAAGTTTGTATGTTTCAGTATGATATATTGACAATGGTTTCATGATTTATTTCAGGTTGATGCTTTATTATGTAGTGTATCATCAGATATGAACCTCACTAGGAGTGCTATATGTAAATCATTAGTTCAAAATGGTGGAACAAAATTACAGGTAGTCATCTAGCATGTATTAGAAAATCTGTCACCGTTACTTAACCATAGATTTAGAACATTTCATAAAAAGTCAGAATATTAAATAAGTGTGATAGAAATAATTTTAAATAAGGTGTCACCTCTTATATTGTGGGTTTATAACCATTTGCCGTATGGACCAGTTGAGGGAAATGATAACAGGTTGTGTCTAAATAAATGTTATATCCTGAATGTAATACAAATTCAGTATGTTAAGATTAAGTAACTATTGGACATCCAGATTTGATGAACTTAAAGACAATATCTACTGTATTAAATTGGACTCTGGGGTGATAGCTACAGTATTAAATTGAACCCTTGGATGATGGCAACAATATAAAAATGAACCCTAGGAAATAGACTTAGTATAAAATTGAACCCTGGGTCAATAGCTACAGTATTAAATTGAAACCTGGAACCTGTCTCCATAATATTTTTATAAAGTTATGCCATACTTTGCAAAGCAGACAAATAATGATTTAAATATAACAATAGCAAATTATACTAAAACTTATTATAACAAATATGATATTATTGCAGGATGAATGTAAAACAAAGCATGGTAATGAGTTGTCAGTAGGCAAGGTTGTGGATATATCAGGAGGAAAACTACCATGTAAAACTGTCTACTTAACTGTCCTACCTACATATACTGAGAGTAGTTCTGCTGAACAGGTTAGTCATCAGTTAACTCCCCTTATATCTTTATTGACAAGTGAGGTTTTATGCACACATAAAATGGCTGTGAAGGAATGGTCAGCTGTGCACTGCATACCTATAGAAGAGCTAAATAAAATGCTACCTAGAGAAAAGTCTGTTTCTATCTGAGCAGTTGTTGAAATTAAAGGGGAAGTATTACAACATAAATATTCCATTACACATTTAGTGCCTTTAGTACTAGGAAATAATTAGTTGAGTAAATTATATATTATTAAAGTGTATAATGTATAATGAACAAGTTGTTTAATCTGATATTGTAACATTAACTTTATTGATGGTCAACTTATTGTTTATTTAAGATTATTGAGTGTTTTGTGAAGTATATAATTGTGACATATTGGCAGAGTTTGATCAACACGCTGCAGACAGTGTTCCAGTTAGCAAATTTGAAGGGTTACAAGTCTCTAGCAATGCCTGCACTTGGTACTGGTTACCTCAATTACCCTAAAACAACTGCAGCTAAATGTATGTATGATGCAGCATTAGACTGGGCGTCGAAGAACAACAAGGCTTCCCTCAAGATGATCAGATTTGTCATGTACAGTAAAGATACAGAAGCTCAGCAGGTACCCTCTCACTAATTGTACAATATAAAATTAATATATGTGCCAGATAAAATAAAATACATGTCTTTCAGTCTAGTTTTTGAGAATTATTCAAAACTTACTGTTTCATGCAAATAATATATCACTTTGTTCAACCATTGTAAAGTACAAACTGTGCTTTGTTTTCAGCAAAGGAGCACATTTGTGGCTCACTCGAAGTTCATATCTACAGATCAAAAGTTTGTAAAGTCATTGTTTTAAGCTGATAATGTGTTTTTTGTACTTAAATGGTTTCATGCCTTTACATGATCTATAAATAATCCAGAATTGAAATTTGAGCGTTTTTGTGAAGGACAAGTTTTGACATTGGTGTAAATATAGCATTTATTTTGTTTACTTCTGACAGGCATACAGAATGTGTCACTTAAAGTGTCAGGGTAGAGAAGTCAGGTCCAATAGAAAGTTTGTAGGAGATGGAACTGTTGTAGTAAAACCTGATGATAATGCTAGATACAAGATGATTAAAGATGGTATGTTCAGTTATGATGTTCTTCCATTCAATATGCAGGAAAAAAAGATGTTTACATAACAACCTATGCTATATATATGAATATTTGCAAACAAATGTAACTAGTTCTGTAACTCACTTAGTGCTAGGCATGATCATGTCAAACTGGTCTATACCATTAAACGATAGTGTTAAATTAAAAAATGTAAAAAATATAATATAAAACTGCATAGATGGGTCGGCTGACTTAGCAGTATAGAATTCAGAAGTCATTATCACAAGTATGTTTGTAGTTGCCTATAATAAAAAATTGTGGGTTTGAACCCTACTCCAGTCACAATCATGATTCTTCATATGACACCAGTACTGGTTGGTTACAGGGAGCATACACAAAAAGTGATTAATGTAAGTTGCAAGAACTTGTTTTGCAGAAAAGCTTTAATAAATATGTATAAACTAACAAAAAACCAATATCTAAAAAATGTCTGTTATAATACAGTGTATGATTTATTTTTACAGGTTGTGTAATAGGTCCTATACAGTTAAATGTTCAAGTAGGGGACTTGCTCAATAATAAAGCTGATGCTATAGTGAATGGAGTTGGTGCTAACTTTGATATGAAAGGTAATACACTTCAGCCTCATTAAAACGCTCATGTTTGGGTCCAATGTCTCAACACCGCGTTCTAACGAGGCTCTCATTAGAACTCTCATTGCGAAATTACCGCATTACCCCACCCACCACATGTATAAATATAACACTGATTTTTTTACTTACTGTTCAATGAATATCGACATTATCTTTTTCTAAAACCATTCAATGATGTAAACATATATTATATTCGCAAATAATACTAATTATATTTAAAAGAAACGAAAAACTTTGGAAAAAAAATTATAAATCATGAATGTAGTGTAAACAGCCATTACTGTAATGACGTTTGATTAACTAGGGGACACAACTAAAGCTGGACTGTAAATAACACTGTAATTTAAGTCCAGCTTTAGTTGTGTCTCCTAGTAAATCAAACGCCAATTACTTCCTGTCATGGCCGCTCTATTTACATTGCAGGATTTTAAATTGATTTTGGGCTTGCGGGTTATTTAATTCAGCGAGGTTTACATGTCAAAGATATGTGTGTGAATTTTAGTTTATTTATACTCACCACCGGTTGCCAATATCACAGTTATGATATGAATTTGAGATTTTGGAAACAATTTGAAGGCAGGTAAAACATCAAAAGAGCGGATAAACGCTTACCTGGACATGTTTTTCACACCTTTGGCGCTCATAAATGTCCTAATAACAATAGTTTATTGTACTTGACTGTCAAATTGAGCAAACGTTATAGCGCGCTATAAATCTAAAAAAAATTTTTTATTTTTTTTGGGAAGTTTTTTGTTTGGGGTGGGGGGGGGGGGAGCCAAGGTCTATGAGCGCTATACTGAGATTAGCGTTATAATGAAGAGCGAGTTATCTAGGCTTCAGTGTACTTTTTTATGACCTTCTATTTCACTTCTTTCAGTCAATTTTAGTCAATTTTTTAGAGCATTAATTGAAAATTGATTATGAATGTTACAATTATTAGCATGCAACTAAGAGCGTTAGTTGGAAAGCTGACAGGATTGTATGTGTATTTAGATCTTATGATTTTATGTTTCAGGTGCTATTGCTCAAGAATTAGCAAAGAGATGTCCAAATATTCTTCCTGAGTGCCAACAGAAAAGTAAGTTTTGTATCTCTATACATGCTGGTCTTCATTCAGGTTAATTTATGATATATAAGTCGTAGTTATACAATGTTTTACATGTTACATACAATCTTGTGTAATTCAAATCTTAAGGTGAAACATGGTTAGGATGTTCTAAAATTTTTTGTATGTATTAGATGGGACTTTTTAGAATAATGTGGACACATATCCATAATGATGAGACAGTGATAGTAGAAATAAACATACAGCTTCAATGTCACAGTAACGCTTGTATATTAGAAATTACTTTGAAATTGCTTTCTAAGTTTCTAGCCTATTACTCTGACATAATAAGAAGCATTAAAAAAGATTGGTACTAGGGGCTAAGCAATTAACATGTATGTCTGATACCATTGATATATTTTTATATTTCACAAATGTGGGGTCTACATCTCCTTTTTGCTGTATAGTTTTTGAAGGCATGTTAACATTAACAACATGTAAACATTAATTACAGAGGCAGAGTTGAAGAAAGATGGTGTAGTAACAACAAGCAGTGCTGGTCTCCAGGCAACATATGTAATACATGTACAGTTCCAGGACACATTGGCTGGCTGGAGAAATAAAATGGTTAATTGTCTCGAGGAAGCTAACAGAAAACTCATCAAATCTGTCGCTTTCCCTCTACTTGGTGCTGGTAAGATTCTATTTCTTGAACTTTATGTGTTTTTACAGTTATTTGAGATAAAGAAAATAGTTTGGAACAAGAGGAGTTTGGAACAAGATGTTTAACATTTGTGCAGCTCTAGATTTCAAAAACATTTTGTATGTATTTTTATCAACAAAGATATGATAATAAGAAAACAAATCAAACTGTTCTGTTATTTATTTATGAGGGTTGTATGGTAAGTTCATAGACAAGGTATGTAAACAAGTACATTAATTCAGTAACAAAATAAAAACTTGAAACTTTATACCTAAATCTTTTTCTTCAATCATATTATCACATCTTAAGTTTGTTCTGCATAATATTCTGCAGTCTGCAAAGACGCTATAACATCATCCCCAATGGCCCGTTTCCTGACAAGGATGTCATGATTTATACTTTTTATCAACTTTGAAATGGTTCAATTTTGTGGGGAAAAATGTTGTCCGAAAATCCTTACACTATTATCTTTATGCGTAATTATGCAAAAATGTAGGGAATGATGTTCTCACAAGTTTGATAAAATTTTCGCATAAAATGGCCATTTTACATAAAAATATTCAGGAATTTTGACACTTGTATGTATTTAAAATGTTGTATTCAAGATAAAGCTGACAAAAGTGTTAAGTGTTTAATGTATATTAATTTCAGGAGTAGGACCAAAGAGTTTTCAAGCAGACGGTATTGCTGAGTGTCTATTTGCTGCTATAGATGATTTTTGTGGTCAGAATACGAAAAGTTCAGTGACAGATGTACATTTGGTGGTTCATGATAGTAATATATCATGTAAACCGTCCATTATGTCGGTGTTACAGAGTAAAACAACCGCTGCTGCATCATCATCAAAATCTCCCCTCAAAAAGTTACTAGGTATAATTCTATAATTATAAACACTGAAAAGGTTAATTAAAGTTGTACTACGAGTAAAATGGTGTAAAGCTATCTACCAGAAGGTAAAACACCTACCCAAATACAAACACTATTAGTATATGCTCTGGAAAATTACCTAAAATAGTAAAAATAAAAACCCCAAAAAAATCATTTTCAGGGGCAGGTAACTCAAAAAGTAGGATAGTGTACTGATGGTACACTTTTATGCATTTCGATCTCAGAATTTATGAATTAACATTAAAATTAGTTAAGTGAAAACAGAGAAATTAGATGATACATATTTCATGAAGCAATTAGTTGGATAGTTTTATTGTATGTACTGTAAGGTAATTAATTTGGTTGCAGGTAATGTTGCAGAGAAACTTGGCTTGAACTCGAAGCCGGACAATGAGAAACCTGTTCGTAACACAGGGAAGGATTCTTCGGTTGTTGTTGTTGTACATTCTGATGCCATTATCAATATAGATCGGTGTATTAAAGCTCTAGATGACAGAATAGGGCTAGAGTATACCAAAAAAACAATAGATGCTGATACAGAAGTCATGAAGAAACTCTCTGATAAGGAGGTAAAAAATAAAACTGTAAATTTTTCCTAAAAATTCAACCTTTGTTTAGTAAATATCAGTTAAAAATACTTCTGAAAGGCAGATCTTTCCTTTAGATTATTCTCAATTTCATGTTAAAGTTTTATATACCTAGGTTAAAAAGTCATAACTTTAGTTAAAATGAAAATATCTGTAGTAAATTTAAAACTTCACAGTTTGGTAATGGTGACACTTTAAAGAAAACAAGTTTCTGCATAATGATATTTTAGCAGTATAACTAAAATAGGAAACAGTAAAATCTGACATATTTCTTCATAATTTCAGATTGACAATATTGTGGATGCAAATATCATAGTTGATGTAAAATTTGATAAAAAGGCTGGAAAATTCAGTATCAGTGGTCCATCAAGAAACGTACTTGCTGCTATAGATTGTATACATAATAAAATGAGGCAGTTAATGCGTGAGGAGAACAACAAAAGTTCAGCGGAGGCGTTATATAACCAGATACAGTGGCACTGGCTAAAAGAGGACCAGACTGCCACAGATTCCAGGGAAATACCATATGATATACAACCTAATTATGTCATTGAAAGTGCATATAAGGAGGGTAAAACAAATGTAGAGCTAATGGCCATAGGTGGGAGAATGTATATAATAGATTTCCACAAACTTATTGAATATCCCAAATATAACATAGGTGACACTGTGAAAGTGATCAGAAAAGATATCTTGAAAGGTAGGCCATTAGCAGTATCTTAAAAATCTTTTTAGAAAATTGATGGAGATAAAAGTTCTATGTCACTGTGGAAATAAAATAGAACAATTATTTTACAAGGTGAAAAACAGTCATCAATTATTTAAAAAATATGTAAACAACAGTGTGCAGTTTCACAGTAATGAAACAAATTCCACTGTTACAAGTTTCAAAATGAGTAAAAAAATGCAAAAGAAGATGTTACAGTAATAAATGAAACAACTCTGTAATAGGTTTTCAAATTAGTTAAAAGGCTACAGAAAAGAAAAGGTTTCAGTAATGAGTAAAGGTTTTAAAATAAAAAAAAAGGCTATGAAAGGTTCCAGTTATATGCAGTAAATTTTCACAGATTTATGATATTTGATCTGTAGATGTAATATTTATAAATTTACCCTGTATTAAGATGATAACAATTTTAAAAAGAGATTGAAATTTAAACTTTTATCAGGAGGTCAGGCTACGCTGCCCAGTATTTGGATGTCCATGAGTAACAATGAATATGTGAAACGTGTTACTTTAAACAGTGGAGCTGAATATCAACGAGTAGAGAAACTCTTCACTGGACAAGTTAGAAATGGTCTGTACTCAAGGAAAGTGAAAAATAGTAGTGGTGTACAAGTTTTAAAGGTAGGTTTATCTATGACACACCAAGCAAGTGACACAATCTTTAGCTCTATTTTTGTGCCCCCACGTTAGTGGCGGGCATTTAGATTTACCTTTGTCCGTCCGTCCGTCAGAACGTCCGTCCTTCCGTCCGTCCGTTCGTTCACTTTTGTGTGGCACGTAACTCAAAAAGTATTTGACCTAGAGTCATGAAACTTTACAGGAATGTTGATCAGCATGTGTAGTTGTGCACCTGGGTATTTTCGTCTGGATATTTTTAGTATTTTTCAAAGTTATTGCCCTTGACTTAGTAAAATTTTGCAATTTTCAACTTGTGTCGCATGTAACTCAAAAAGTTTTTGACCTAGAGTCATGAAACTTTACAGGAATGTTGATCAGCATGTGTAGTTGTGCACCTGGGTATTTTCATGTGGATATTTTTAGTATTTTCAGAGTTATTGCCCTTGACTTAGTAAAATTTTGCAATTTTCAACTTGTGTCGCACGTAACTCAAAAAGAATTTGACCTAGAGTCATGAAACTTTACAGGAATGTTGATCAGCATGTGTAGTTGTGCACCTGGGTATTTTCGTCTGGATATTTTAAGTATTTTCAGAGTTATTGCCCTTGACTTGGTAAAATTTTGCAATTTTCAACTTGTGTCGCACGTAACTCGAAAAGAATTTGACCTAGAGTCATGAAACTTTACAGGAATGTTGATCAGCATATGTAGTTGTGCACCTGGGTATTTTAGTGTGGATATTTTTAGTATTTTCAGAGTTATTGCCATTGATTTAGTAAAATTTTGCAATTTTCAACATGTGTCGCAAGTTACTCAAAAAGTATTTGACCTAGAGTTATGTAACTTTACAGAAATATTGATCAGCATGTGCAGTTGTGCACCAGGTATTTTCGTCTGGATTTATTTAGTATTTTTAGAGTTATTGCCCTTCACTTAGAAAATTTTTGCAATTTTCAACTTGGATTTGACATAGTCATTAAACCTTATGGGCAGGTTGCTCAGCATATTTTAGATTTGCACCTGGGGTTTCGCTTGTGGATTTATCAAATATTTGTAGAGTTATTTCCCTTGACTTAGTAAAAAGATTGACAGAACAGTGGCGCGGTGGGGGCACCCGTGTCCTATGGACACATTTCTAGTTTAAAAAATAAAGAAAAGCTATTATCATGACCCACTTTGCAGTGCCAATATGCCAATGTTAGTAACATTTTGGTCAAGGTTTTGTATATGGTCATTAACTTCAATATAGTTATCACATTGAAACTTTTTTGTTCGGATGGACCTTGATTTTTACCTGTGACATCTATTTTCACAATAATTGTTAATAAAGACCAGTTTGTATCCTGAGAAAGTGTGAATGACCAGTTGAGGGGCTAGGAGTAAGCCTGCTCAATTTACTATTTATTGTTGTATATTATTTTCATATATATTCCAAGGATCCCAGGGTTCCAGTGCCGGTCAGACTGCAAATTTTCTCACCCTGTATCATTATGATTTTCATCTGTATTCTAAATAATAAATAATATTAATGGCAGTGGTTTTGTAGCTATAATATATGATAAAGGATTAAAGAAATGGAAGAAAGATGCACTAATTTGATTTCAGTAGTGGTCATTGTTTTGAAAGTCATGCTAAATTTTCCATGTTTCTGAAGTTACACAAGTTTGTGATTTATGTTTTACTTTTTTATTAATAAACATCTTAAATTATATAGCAGTTCTTTTAAAGGCACATTATACCTCAGAAATCCCTTTCTTTTTATTAATTCTCAATTAATTTGATATGTCAATTAAATTTTGCCCTCAGATTGAGAGAATTCAGAATCGTACACTGTACCAGCAGTATGCTGCCAAGAAGAAGGCAATAGAGCAACAAAAATCTGGAATTAAATCAATAGAACGTCAGTTATGGCATGGTACCATGGAAACAAATATTCCCAGTATTATAAACAATGGTTTCAACAGAAGTTATTGCGGAGTCAATGGTATGTTGTAATATGGTTTTATTATTTAAGTCCTGTCTGTTTTGTTGTTGGAAACTTCAACAGCTCTCATAATTTATTTATTTAATAGACCTGTATACTTGACACTTGGACTAGGCATGGCTCCTGATGAGATTTTGATGTGTGACCTTCACCTTTGCTTGAAATTGCCAAATAAGGTTAATTATGCCTCCACAGAGTGGGAGCATATAGCGTTGCACTTGTCCGTCCATCTGTCCGTCCGTCCGCACTCACAGGAGAGTAATTATGTGGCTAGAGGGACAATAGGTAACTGTTCTTTCTCTTTGATGTCATTCATTCCGTAATGCTTTTATGTGGCTATTTTCTTTTGGGTGGCTAAAAAGAACAATAGAGAGAACAATAGAGTAGCCACATAATTACTGTCCTGTGAGAACTTCCGTCTGTCTGTCCGTACGTCCCGAAATCTTGTGAACGCAACTCCTCTTAAACCGGATGGCAGATTTCGCTTAAACTTCCAGGAATGAACAACCTTAATGTGTAGATGGCAGTAAAGGAAGGAATTTTTGCTGCGACCAAATTTAACAGAATTATGGCCCTTTGTTGATTTTTTCACTATATACCATGTAGAAATTTTGTGAACGCAACTCCTCTTAAACCGGATGGCAGATTTTGCTTAAACTTCCAGGGATGAACAACCTTAATGTGTAGATGGCAGTAAAGGAAGGAATTTTTGCTGCAACCAAATTTAACAGAATTATGGCCCTTTGTTGTTTTTTCACTATATACCATATAGAAATTTTGTTAACGCAACTCCTCTTAAACCGGAATGGCAAATTTTGCTTAAACTTCCAGGGATGAAACACCCTAATGTGTAGATGGTAGTAGAGGAAGGATTTTTGCTGTGACCAAATTCAACAGAATTATGGCCCTTTGTTGATTTTTTCACTATATACCATATAGAAATTTTGTGAACGCAAACTCCTCTTAAACCGGATGGCAGATTTTGCTTAAACTTCCAGGGGATGAAACAACCCTAATGTGTATATGATAGTAAAGGAAGGAATTTTTGCTGTGACCAAATTTAACAGAATTATGGCCCTTTGTTGATTTTTTCACTATATACCATATAGAAATTTTGTGAACGCAACTCCTCTTAAACGGGATGGCAGATTTTGCTTAAACTTCCAGGGATGAACAACCTTAATGTGTAGATGGTAGTAAAGGAAGGAATTTTTGCTGCGACCAAATTTAACAGAATTATGGCCCTTTGTTGATTTTTTTCACTATATACCATATATATGTTGTCAGTGGGGGCATCCGTGTCCTTTGGACACAGTTCTAGTTTTTCAATTATATTGCACAAGAACATAATTTATTAAGATTTTGGACAAATTTATTGATGTATCTTGTTTTTAAACGTTAGCGAAAGTATTTGCCAACATTTGAGAAGGACTGAACATCAAAACTGGTAATCAAATATTAGAATTGACAATAAAATAGTGTTTCTTATCAGTGCAGGGGGAAATTTGAAACAGTTACATACTTGTCTTGTAGTACTTTTATTTGTAGAAATATTTTGGTAGCTCAATTGGTACTAATACATATTTGTTAATTAATGATAATGAAGTATAATTTATTTTGATTATATTTATATGGTTAGTTTTGTAATTTTACAATATTTTATTTATTGTAGGTGTGTTGTATGGACAGGGTGTTTACTTTGCTGCAGATGCCTCGTACTCCGCCCAGTCCTACCTAACAGGCCATAAACCAGGTCAAAAACGCTACATGTTCCTAGTGAAAGCTCTTACTGGAGAGTTAGTTAAAGGCAATGCTAGTATGAGAGTATTGCCCCCTGTGAAAACATCACAACCAACAATACTCTATGATTGTGCGGTTGATGACATTAATAATCCAATGGAGTTTGTGATATTTCATGATACCCAGGCATATCCAGAATATCTAATTACATACACATCATAGCTTGTTTATATTCTGTTTACAAGCATCATTCACACACAAAACTGGTCATACATTACACATCAGTGGTCATCTTTATACAGTCTCAGCATAATAGTGCAACAAACATACATCATAGTCACACACAAGTTAAATACACACATGAAAACTTCAAACACTGTCATATCATATATAAATATTACATCCAACAATTAGTCAGAGTCTGTTGAACTAGTATGTTTCATGATTTTGTACATTGTATTATAGTGTCACAAAAATTTTGACTTGTATATGTAAACAGTTTGTTTTGCATGATTGTTACATGTTCATGAATAGTCACTTTTAGAATTAGTACTGAGTATTTGCACTATTATTTCTCTATATTTACTCTAGCACACAAAATGCACTATGTCATATGTAACTACCTGACAAAAAATTGTAAATAAGAAATGTTTGTATTATAAGTATTTATCTAGTCTCAAGTTATAGTCTACTCTGTCATTGTAATGATATATGTTATAGTAAACAAATCATGTCAGGATGTGACACTCTCTTCTATACTTTGTTAGTCTGTGACATATTTATGTTCTGTGACATTGTCAGTATGTGACATTGTCAGATAGTGTGTGACTTTGTCAGATAGTTTGTTACATTGTTAAATAATATGTGACATTGTCAGATAGTATGTGACATTGTTTGATTGGTTTGTCATGTTGTGAAAGAGTGATCAGAGATTGTTTCCGTGGCGAAGTGGTTAAGGTTGTCAACTTCAAATTACTTGCCTGTCACTGCTGTGGGTTAGATTCCATTTTGGCCTTTGGGTTCTTATCTGTGACATTGTTTTAATGTCATATCATAATGATGTGACTAATGTGGTATCATAATGATGTGACATCTTTACTAGCATGTCACAATGCCAACATGACATAGCAATATTGTCATTTGTGTCACATTCTGACATAAATATTGTCATATGACTGTGTCACATCACACCTGGGTGTGACAGAGTTTTACACGGTCTTTGCAGATTTGAAAACACTTCCTAATTTGTTATGTGATACATAATATTGTTATATGACACTGTGTGTTTGACTTTATTATATTGTATAGTAAATATCAATATTGAAGGATGTTGTAAATAATGGTGTGAAAATTAGGAATCTTAATGAAATTTACAGGTAGTTTTGTAAATAGATGTGAAGATTTTGTTACTCAGAATATGTTAGTTAGAATATGGCATATGAAATATTCCATGTGACTTGGTGTATTTAATACACTTTATTGTAAATAATTACACATTGTGCAAAATAGAGTTAGTACAAAAAAAATGTAAAAAATGACTATAGTTTTTACAAGAATTCCTTGATAGAAACTTTGTAAAGATTGTGTATTAACTACCATGTGTTCCATATGATGTATGTATAGAAAAGTTATGTTTTAAAATATCTGAAATGAAGTGATTCTGGTCACTTTGCTGATATAAAAATAAATGTGCTTGTTTTGGTGGAGATATAAATGAAAATTGTGTTAATGGATGCTGAAGAGGAGGCGGACATTCAAAACATTCTCACATAATACAACATGTAGAGAAATCTTAAATATTTTTGCTGTGTATTCAAGATTTTTAGATATGTTGTTGTGGTATTTAGGTGTTACTAAATATAGCTATTAAGTCAATGATAAGTGAATATAGTTCAGGTGACAGTATTAGTGACTTTAAGGGAATAGTGATTAAGGAGATTTTAAGGTGAATATACTGAAATGGAAAATGGAAGAAAATATGCATAATGAAAATGCAGAGCTGTCAAATTTTTATCCAAATTGTGTTAATCAGATTTCTGAGAGGGGAAATGTGTTTCGTGACCCTTGCAGGATTTTACTGGTTTTGTGAAAACTTGAGAAAATATATTTTGTGAACTTGAAATGAATTTGAGATTTTTCATCACAAAGACAATTATGTTAAGATTGTGCGCTAAATTAATGTTAACAAAGTTATTGTAGAACTGTCTATACAGTTTCATGTCATTATTTTTATGTATTGTCTTCAAATGTCAGAGTAAATTTAATTTTGAAAAATTAAAATTTTATTCAGATTTGTTTGGTCAGTATTACAACTGATTGATAATAAAAATATAGAATAAAACATGCAGAAAGCTAGAAATTGTTATGAAGAACATTGTACAAAACTAAAACATCAGTAAAAATATGTTTAAATTTTGAAATCTTATGTTTCCTGATAGATTTCATTCAAATCAGAATACCATGACATCCAGGGTATTTCCAGCTTTGATTATTTTACCTCTATACTTGTGCACTCCAAAGATGTCTTTATAATATGAAAAGATAAAAAGTTTATGATTTTACTTGTTTGTGCTAGTCTTAACCCACAAACATTCACTTTAGTGGTGGTGTTCCAGTCACAGGCATACACAATTCATTTGGCTGTAATTTGTAAGGTATTGAAGTATATTGGAAATTTGCAGTCTATTTTCAAATATATAAGCTATGTAAAATGACAGTAGTTTACATAACCAAACATTTATGTTTCTATTTAAAAGATTAATTGTTCATATATTAACTTTATTCTGACAATTGAAGTAATGTAAAACAGTCCGTCAGAATGTATTTATCCGTGTGATTTAGGCAATATTTGGTGGAGAAAAAAAGATACATGCACCATTGTTATTTGAGTGTACAATGATAGACAATTTTAACTGATGTAACTTGCTGGTGTATCTTCTGTAAGTGTGAAGTGTCTACAAATTTAGGAAATCAGAGTTATAAGCAAGTGCATCTTATTAATGATGGTTTAATTTATTCATTATATCAGAGACATAGATTACATCTATGCTATCTACATAGCTGATGATGTCTAGGAATGGAACACTAGAGCTCTATAAAATACAAGATCTTTTTTATTTAAAAATGCATGTTGCCTTAAAATAAAGAGAAATACATTCTGACTGTACTTATGTCTGGAAACAGCATATGTTTATTTTCAGAGATTTTTTGTCTTACTTTTTATAGTGAATAGAAATGAGTAAGAAGAAGTGAAGTATTTCTTAATCCAAACAATATTATCAAGAAAGATAAAGATTTCTGGAAATAAATATAAGGTGTTCTACTGAGGTAATTACCTCTTGATGACAGATGAAAATAGTCTCAGAATTATGACAATTAATCATACAGTGCAATTAATTAACTCTAATTAATCATCATTGCTTTTGAAATAGATGGTAAAAACATCAGTGGATATAAAGCATACATGTGAACTTTTTTTTAAAGATTTAGTCAGAGATTTTTCTTCACAAAGAGCAATAAACAAAGAAGAAAGTTCTGATATTAAAAAAGAGGGAGATTTCTTTAATTTGAGAAAATACCGGTACCCCTTATTTTAAGAAAAATCTTTGAAAATATGGCTGCAGAAAGTGGGAGTCTCCCGCTAAAAGTGGGAGAGTTCACATGTATAATAAAGGAAACAATTTTGTCATAAATACATCTGGTAAACCATCTTGTTATCTTTCTATTTGATAGATTAGGTATATAATTTGTTGTAATGATTGTGTCATAATTCTGGAACTATTTCATCATGCCTAGGCTTTAAACTAGATATTGCCTGTGGCATTTTAATCTTTTATACCATGCATGATAAATTGATATATTTAGTATGTATGGAATAATAAAAATATCTTGATGGAGCAATAGAGGAATCCTTTCCTGGTACATTAGTACTAGAAGATCTCTCGAAATAAAGGAATTGTTTGTTGCTCCCTCAGGATACACGGTTCTGACACATGTCTGTATATTACATTTACTTACCTGCAATAATCTATATCTGTACTTTATAATGCAAAATAGAAAAAATCTTTGAGAAGAATTTGAAAATTTCAAGAACAATATTTTTGCATCTGATACACATCTTATGTAACTCACTTTAAATAACTATCTAGTTTCATTCAAATGTTTGATAATGGTATTGTTGGTACTAAAGTTTATGCAACTAAACTCTTGATATTTTCTATATTTAGTTATTTAAGTATAACCTTAATGTACTAACATTCAGGCTGCCATTGATAGAAAAAAAATTATTTATATATCCAAAGCTGAAATTTGATGAAATATCAAATTCAATAGCTTGAACATTTGAATATATACTATAAACTGTTAATAACTACTAGTATCAAGATAATACTCTTGGGATGATATACCTGTATTTCATACAGCAGTGGTATAAATATAGGCATCTGACTGAGGTCATGTATCATCCATGTTTAATTTATGTTGCTGAGGTGTGACAGGTTATTAATTACTAATTAAAAATTCAGTAATACTTGATAAATTAATCATACACTTGTACATTCAAACATACAATATAAATATTTATGTTTCAAACATTCATAAGTTGATTATGAAATACAGTTAATATTTTGTATATTTAGTGAATTATTTTATCATAGATGATATAAGAATATTGTATTTGTAGTGATATATAATAGATAGACATGTGATGGGACCTATTTGATAGCTTACAGTAGACATTAGATGTCTCGTGCTATTATTGGGGTTATTTTTGACCTTATGTAGAAATGCTGAAGTGTTATATTAGACTTCTCATTATTAGTCGGGATTTTTGTCAATTTCAATTTAATTACTTTTTTTTAAGTATTAAAAGACATATAGAGTAGTTTCTGATAGGTGATTTTTCTCAAGTTAAATAAAAAAATCAAGTTTTCTCTACGTTTGAACAAGTACTAATATGTTGTTTAAAATTTTTGTTATTGTATTGAAAGTGTAGTTTTTTTGTATTTCGGTTTTGAAGAAAGTTGTATTTATTGTGTAAACAACAACAAAATTATAAAAGTAAAATAAAATGACGAGTTTTTATTCTGTTATTTGTTAGTGATTCAGAAGGAAAAATATTTTCTGTTAATAATAAGAAGTTAAACCAAGCGTATCAGATTATGAAACTAAAAGTCTTTATAAAATATCTACTTCATTTGTCCTAATATTTTTGAATTCTTTTTTATTATTATTTTATTCAACAAATTCTTAATTTTGTAAGAAAGAAATATTATATTCATTTAATGACCAAAATCTTGAAATAATTCTAATATAACAAATTATTCACTAATAATCTAATAACAGTAGTCCTCTGATTGAAGCAAATTTTTTACTAAAATTTTCTTGTCCTCTTTTTTTCATTTTAAACAGTAAAAATAATAGATTTTGATAAAATCATGAATTGCCATTCGTTTTCTTTTAGATTTTCAGCATTAATAAAATGATATATTATGTCATAAAAATTTTTTTATTGAGAGAACTAGAAATATTTGTTATACTGGTATAGGTAATTATTATGAAGAAGAAACAGAAATATAGTGTTGTTTTGTTTTCTATATGATAAACTTATTATTTTTTCATGTATTGCTTTTATAGAAAAATGCTGTCTAATCATTTAGCCTATAAGCTTAAATCATATAATATTTAGTTTAATTAGTGTGTTATTACTCAGTGATTTTTATATTATAATCATTCTCTATTTGACTTGTACATTCCAACGATTTGTCTAGTTTGGAAATGATTATTGACACCTATCTTAATAAGGTTAATCCACGTCTTTAGATTTTACATTTTGTTGGTAGTATTTTTGTTGTCAAGGTTACATGTATGTACTTGCTATGGGTAATGTTTGATATATCCATTCAGGTATATATAGAGTAACAAGCTTCTGTTGTCTGATATTATATTTTACAGGTAAGACATATAATAGACAATGTTTGCAGAGACCACTGGCCCATATCTACCTAGACTGTATCATATCATTACAGTTGAATGAATGTTTGATAATTGACAACAGTCTATGCTAAGTGAAAATCATATTTGAATGTCCCCAAATAATGAGATAAACTTAAAGAATTAAGAGGCTATGAATAAGTTCATGCAATTAGTTATAATTGACAAGAGTTCATGTTTTGTTAATAGGTAACTAAGATAATAAATAATGATCAGTAAGTGTAACCGAGGCAGTTGTCTGATTATTTACTAAGGATGGTGAGGTATATATATATAATACAACTGCCATATATTGTCTCATAATTGGCACGTCATCTAGTACTAGTATACTGTATGTATATGTACAAACAACCATATTGAAGAATATTAAGAGGATATTTTTTCGTTTGCGTGAAATATGTAATATATTTTCACGAAACATGATAAAATGCCACATATTTTCACGAGCTCTTTATCATGTTGAGTGAAAATATATACCATATTTCACGAAAAACGAAAAAATAACCTTTTTATTTAATTTCATTATCAAAGAAAATGGTAACGAATCCCCTTGCTTGCTACAAACTGCAATTGTACAGCGTGCAGTAATTTATGCGTAAGCACGCGCTGTTTGGCGTTACATTGTGACGTCATGTAAACAACTCTTCAAACGTCTGTACAGCGTTAATTACTGAATTAAAGAAATTGGTGTTCGGATTAATTTTCTTAGTTAGACCATTTTCTATCATGCTAGATAGTTTTCAAAACAATATTCAAGAAAAAGTTGTTCTGTATTTATCAGATTTTTCAAACAAAACGGCGAAAGAAGTCCCTTGAAATAAATATGAGTTTTGACTCCGCCCACTTTCATATTTATATTTCATATTGATCTTTAAAAAATATGAAATATATTTGACAGATATAGCACCATATTTCATGGGTAAAATTAAATAATATGTTACATTGATAGAGAATATATATTCTACACCTTCAGTTCTACTGTAGCAGCATATATAGTGATTATTATATTCTGTTGTAACCCTTACATAGGTAATCTGGTAATAATAACAACAATTCTTTCACAGTCATTTCTGATATATCATGACATTATAAGATAAATATATTTTTCAACATATCGATACAAAGCATATGGAATATGAATCCTTATCAAGGTATCCTGCTGCTGGTTTATACAGAATTTATTTTAGTTCGATTGTGTAGGAAGCTATTAGCTTATAAACACACTTTCGAATCCCGTGTCGGGGTTTGAACCCATGCAGCTAGCGATCATAAGATTACTAGTCCGAAGCGTTAACCACTTGGCCATGACGCCACTCTGGTTCAATTTTTAAGTTTAGAGTAAATATTGGTTTTAAAGGGAATTAAAGTCTTGCTTTACAGATTACATGTTTCTTATAAAATAACCTTTTTAAATGACACCCTATTTTTAGAATTCTTTCAAGATAGTGTGTATAATGATATATATTCAAATGGGACAAATAGTTGGAATGGATGAAGTTTGGCATACAACATGCATGAAGCTATATTTTTCAGGGAAATGTGATATGAAAGATTTTTATAGTAAATATGAGGGTAGGAGATTAGAACTTCTTTATTGTTTAGGAATAACTGAATAGTAATCTTGTCATTTATTTATGAAATAAGATATCCCCAACTCTATTTCTCTTCTGTAAGACAAAACACTAACTGTTTTCCTTCAATGAGACAAATATGTATTAAATATATTGTATATTTTGAACATTTTGGACTGACGAAAATTATAAACTATATTCAGTGTAGCATTACTTTATTATACATTTTATGACTTCTTTATGCCAGCATATAAGCAGAAAATGAACCCCTATAAAATTTTGATTATAGAAGGAAAGTAGTCTTTGCTGAGATGGATATTTGTTAGTGTAAAAATCTTTCAAGACATTTTCTAGCATTGTATAGCTTCCAGTATGAAGTATGTATGTTAAATGAACTATTGCATTTTCCACTCTGAATTATCTAGGAATTCAATGCTGAATGATTTAATAACAGTTGTATACAGTTATAGGTGTTGTTATAACACTCTGAAAATATTATTACCTAATATTATTTTATAGCTATCAAGTATTTTGTTTTTTAATCTAACATTGTAAGATCTAGTAACAGTTTATGAAATATTAAGTTTCTCATTTTAAAGAAGTGAATGTGAAGCCAAATCTATATCTGTAAGTATCAATATAAAGGGTAAAGAATTAATAGCTATTTTTCTCTGGCGAGAGTAAGCCTATGTGCGATTGCTCTCGATATAGACTGAACGTGATAGATTGACCTTGGCTGATTTATTGATTTTGTCCAGTTGCATCTTGATCTAGACTGGTAAACTGTAATCTTATGTGAGGCGGAGTGTCACATGCAAAATTTAGGTCCCTACGGCCAAGGTCAAGGTCACACATAATGGTCAAAGTTCAAATAAAAATATGAAATGTGTTTTCAGGCCATTTAGTCTTCGTTTATTGAGGGATTGAAACACATATGGTCATTATAATGACTACTGGTGTGAAACATGGAATTTAGGTTAATGTATGCAAGGTCATGGTCACTAAAAATGATAAAATATGGCAATTTTTCCCAGAGCATATCTCTTCCACGCATGGTGGGATTCTAATAAAACTTCATAGAAATGTTCACCACTATGAGAAGCAGTGTCTAATGCATGAACTAGGTCTCTAGGTTAAAGGTTAAGGTCACACTTAGAGATCATTGAAAAATGTTTGTTCGGAGCCGAACTTCTACTTTCATCGGTGGATTTTAATGTAACTTGGCACAAATGTTCACCATTGTGAGGCCTATTGCTCACATAGTCCAGGTCCCTGGTACCAAAGTCAAGGTCACATAGAGGTCAAAGCTTGTGTACGGTGACCATTTAGTCATCATTTATTGATGGATTGTATCACAAATGATAACCATCATGACTACAAGTGTGACACATGTAATTTAGGTTAATATTTGCAAAGTCACTAGAGATGATAAAATTTTCAGATATTTCAGAGCATATTTCCTATATGCATATCTTTGATGCCCACATCTCTGTCAAAAGCTTTTGTGACGGGCGTATTTTGTGACAATGTTGCCCTTGTTCATATGTTTCAATGTAATATTGACACACAAAAAACACCCTTTTTATATGCCCGAAAGAATTTCGGGCATATTATGTTATACCCCCTGGCGTCCGTCTGTCCGTCCGTCCGTCCATCCGTCCGTCCGTTAGCAATTTGGTTTCCGGAGCATAACTTAAGTTCCATTTGGCCCACAGTGTTCAAACTTCATAGGATGATTGTCCATATTGGGTAGAAGACCCCTATTGATTTTGGGGTCACAAGGTCAAAGGTCAAGGTCACTATG